ATATATTTGTATTTTCCCATTTGATACAATTAATTACATATTTGATGTTTATATAAACTTTAGAAAGGATAAATTATGAATAAACAAAATTTCCGTTCAGGTAATTAATATGTTAGATAAAATATAATTAATATAATATTTTGTTGGCAGCATAATTATTTCACAGAATGTTCACAATTTATTATAAATATTAATGTTTTATATACATAGCTTTTCCATTATATGGCCCATTAATTTAAGCTATTCAATAGATTAAATTTAAAGAGATTGATTTGAGTCAGATTATTTCGTAGGAAATTCTTGCCTTTAGACAACTTTTCACTTCTTGCTGGTCCCATCCGAATAATCAGTCTGCTTTTTGCGACGCCAACAAGTGTGGCACTTGATCTTTTTCTTGCCACTTGCCACCGCACTCAGATTGTGATTGAGTATGTGCAACTGAGCCAAGGGCCAAGAAGGAGGGCCTCGAGACCCGTCCTTCGATTTTTCCCCTTTGGCTTGGACATTGGCAGAGGGGTGAGTGATGAAAATTTCGATGATGCCCATCCAACAATGCCAGTTTACTGGGGGGACCGAAACGGAATTTAATTTTGTGCGAAACTTGGCCAGCTCACAGCTCACACACAGAAGGACATGGTTGTCATCGGCGCTGCATCAGCTGTCCCTCAACATCGACTTTGGGCTGGATGATAAAACCCAATTTGTTGCAAATAAAATAAAAAACAAAGCAGGCAAGCAAATGGACACAAGGAGCTCCTCTTGTTGCACCATCAGCAGGAGCAATTGGGCGAATTCGTTGCAAATTGCCACTCGACGTCTGCTGGTGTCCGAGAAATAGGAATCATCCCGAAATTGCAATCGAGGATCGATGCCGAGATTAGAAACTGGAAAACGCATTTCGCATAATTTCAGTGCGAGGGCCCTACTCCTCTTTGCTGTGTTTACAATTCGTTTATGCAAAGTCTGCCCAGCTGCGGGTTAAAGGGGGTTGCAGAAGGGGCAGGGGTAGTCAGACAATCAGCTTACCCACTCAAAGATAAATCTATATATATAGGAATATTTTTTCCATTTCAAACAGGTAATCGATTTTCATGCTTGTGGCGAAATGTACAAAAGAACTGAAACGAACCCAAAAGTAAACCAACTTTGTTGTCTGTTTCGTTTGTTTTCATTCTTATGTTTTTCTCCCTCGGCATCTGGATTTGGGTTTCGACGACCTCCACCTTATTCTTATGCCCCGTGCGTTTGTGTGGGGATGTGGGTATGTCGGTATCCGGTGCGTATACTTGATATTTATGTTGAAAACTTAAAGCAGTTAAGAGCTCGTCGTGCTTAAAATATTCCATCGGTGTCTGACAGCCAAGTTTATCCAACTTGTTGATTTACTTTTCGCCCCACTTTCCGGGGCCAAAGTTAAACCACATCAGTGTTTCCGTCCCTCCTCGCCATTTAAAGTGAGACCTGCCTGGAATAATCACGTTTCAGGATCGTGTTTTGCTTTTGATCTTCTCGGTGATTTGCATACCCGAAAATCCCACTTTTGAACAGGTCTTTATCGAGCACTTTGGTTTGGAATACACGTTTTATTACAATCAAAATCATTTCTTCCATTTACATTTATGAGTTTTCCTTAGCTTAGTAACAATTTTCCAATGATTAAGCATTGAAATTATTATTCACCTAAAATTATTCAGTGAGTTCCAAACCACTTTCAAGTCTGAAAAATATTCAGGAGTGCAAAAGTGCACATGTGCCCAGCTGTGGTGACAACGGCAAGAAAGAATCCAATTACGTGGGCCACTGGAATATTTTTTGACAAGTATTCAATGAATTTCATTCGAGATTTGTAGCCCCAGCCAGCCAGACTTTTGCCAGCCAGGCGTTCGCAGGCAGGAAACGAATTAGAAATGTGTAAAACAGAAGTTGCTCCGCAGCCGTAGTTGGTCAGGAGCTAAGGATCTAGGCAGCTATAGAGCCAAGTGAGACGTGAAAAATATTCCTTTTTTTTTGCGACTCCACAGGATGGGTCGGGAACTGAGCCCTGAACTGAATCCCCTTGCCCGGCCGGAAGAGGAAAATGATTTCCGGCCTGAACTGAGCTGGGATGGAATGGGGTGATAATTCTGCGGGATCCGAGAACTTTTTATATGCAATCATTGGGCGGATTGTCAGTTAACTCGCAGCTGGCACTGCAACTGCAACCAATTCATTTCATCGAATTATGTGCACATTCCCGGGCTCCATTTACCCCTCATTGCATCTACATAATTTCCGACATTATTCTCTTTCTCGCCACCAAAAAAGTTTTAGCTCAAATCGCGGGCGAAAAAAATAACTTTGTCAAAATGTTTGCACAAACTTTTGGCAGAGCAGAACTCGTTGCGAGACGAGCTGAAGAAGTGGAAAAAATTATCACTATTGTTGCAGATTTGTTAGGTGACGGTGAAATTTGTTTTCGTTGCTTTTGCTTCTGTTGTTTCTGATGGAGGTGTTGGTGGTACTGATAAAAATTCCCATTTCGTTGCTATCAACAGTGTCCACTCGTCGCTGTCTAGTCGTGCGTATGAAATACAAAAAGGGTAATTTAAATATATTAAATTGGGTTAACTCAGCTGGGAAAATTCCACGAATTTGCTTTCAAGAAAGGAGGACAAGGCCATCAGGTGCGTGTTGCGGTAAAGGAAAATATTTAAGGAGAGAGATTTTAATCTTTAATATGTTATGCAAAACTGTTACAATTAAACATACATATATTCAATATTATTTTAAGTTTAAATACCGAAAAACTTTCACTGCTTCAGGGTTTCTTATCGTTTTCTTAAGATTTGTCTTAGGTTCGTAACCTCTCTTAACTTGAACCTTTACCAATATTACTGGCCCCGAGCTTTATCCTCGATTAACTGGCTCGTGGCAAACTTTTTCCCTGACAAATGATATTTAAATGAGCTGCATTTGAAAAGTTAACGGTGAATGGTGTCCAAAGCAAATGTCACAAAATTGACAGGATCCTCCGAAAGTAAGCCAAAAAAAAAACGATTCTCAAGTCGGCAAATTAAATATGCCAAAAAGCAAAGGCGAAATCCGAGCTGGCCAAAAGAACACAAAACTTTTGGCTTACAAACATTCCTAAACTCTTTGCTTCCCCCAAAAAATGCCGGGTCCTCTGCCCCCTGATCCCAACTAATGTCCAAAGATGGCAAAATCCGTTGCTTAAACGGCTAGAGGGCCCGAAGCCAAATGCTTTGGCGGCAACTTTAAGTCGCATTTGGTTTCATAATGCGGCTCAGACTTCCCCGGCTTCGCAGGCTTTCCCATGCCAGTAAAAAGCGCGTGGGGCAAATTGAAATGAAATTGAATTTAGCCAGAGGATGGTTAGAGATGGTTAGGAGGTCGGGGTTGGGAAAAAGTTGACGCGGGTGTGGCAGTTTTATTTACAACTATTCCTCATGTGATGTGATGCTGGGAAAATGCAAAAGAGTTTAATTTGCAATTTGTCGCCCTCATTCAACGCTTAACTTTTCACTCGGGCGGTGTTTGCGGTTGCATATGCAAATGCCTTGGCCATCCACGAACCCCTAACCCTCCAGCCCTCTAACCCTCACCTTTTCCCCCTTGAAAATGGAATGGCCCGCAGCCCTGCATATGCGATAAAATGTACAAAGTTTTGCGTTAAGGCCCCACTTGAGTTGGGCTCGGAGTTGTTGCCGCTGGCAAGTGCCCTAGCCAGCCAGCCAACCAGCCAGCCTGCCAGTTTGTTAAACGCCTTTCAACGGCGTGGTTAGCCAAGCGCAGACCTTGAAATGCCATGCGGCACATATAGCCCACCAGTCCTGGCCAGAAGCTGAAGCTAAAGCTGGTAGCTGGTAGCTAAAGCTGCTGGATGGTAGTTGGTAGTTGGTAGCTGGCAGTACATGGTAGGTGATGCCACTCGAGCAGCTAACCAGCCGGAGCAAACTTTTCTGCGGCAAACGCTTTAAAAAACCATTCCGCAAAAGTCATTCCGTAAGTTGGTCCTGCATCCTGCACTAAAACCCACACGCACACAGTCTCACATGTTGATTTAGCAAACAAAATGTTTTAATTGAATAACACTTTGGTGTTTCACTGCTGCTTACTGGCAAGTTCAAGTGCTTTGCTGGCCAACAGTGCGTATGCTTGATGGGTAGCCATGTTAATCCGTGCCGTTGATTAAATAAATGTTTAATGCGGCCGAGACTTTATCAATCAAATTTGCCGCGGGCAGGGAAATGAAAATTAGTCTGCTGCAATTTTCATTAACGAAAATTCGGTAAATATTTACACACACTCCACTCAATTCACACCCACTTTGGCCCGGCGAGTGTGAACTTAGCCATGCAAATTGAATAGGTCTAAATTCAATTTGGCGTACAACAAAAAGAATTTGGCGGATGGTAAAACAAAAACAGAAATGTGCAAAACATTTTGGTAATTTAGTTGAGCGATTTGCATTTCCGTTGGGGAATAATTTCTGCACTTTTGTGCTCACTGACTGCCCAAATTGAATTGCTGAATAACAAAAAGGCGGCAGCAGGATGCATATGAAATTTGAGCAAATACATATAAATGCGATATATGAATTTAATTAAATGCTGTTGAATACGAAAACATTTTGCTTAAATTGTCACACGCGCAGCAGCAGCAGCAGGAGAATTTGCATTGATTGATGCCGTATTCGGTGATTTATTGAACCTGAGGTTTGTCAGCCAAACAATCGAAAAACCCTTCCCCGATTCGTTCACTTATTGTGATTGTCAGTCGGTAATGGTGATGGTGATGGTAATGCTGGGGGGATGTCCTGCACAATGCATATTTATTTAGCCGGGTTTCATTTTGTATTTCTTGGAACCGCAGTGATTGATGTGGCCATGTTATCATCCCCGATCCCCAAATAACTGTGACTGCAATCACCCCGAACCTTTGTTCCCCCGCCATGTCATGTGAACACAAACATATATTGTTGTACTTGGTCAAAAACTCAATTTAAATTGCATTTGTGTTCGCAGCGCATCTGTCAGTTCAGCATGTGTCGCCCGTCTGTCAACGAATGCCTTTATTCGAACAACTATTAGTTAAATGAATTTGTGCAAACATTAGTTGTCGATGGAGTTGGCAAAGGGCTCGCTGGAGTCCTCATCCTCGTCGCCGTCGGAGTCGAACGCGTTTTCCGGAATATCGTACAGCCGTACCATCGGCTTGTTGGGATCCTTCATGATCAGATACTTGCCATCTGGCTGCTTCATCACAATGTCGATGAGGCAGCGCAGTATGCCCCAGGCGTTGTCCATGTTCAGGTTGATTTGTGTGGCGAATTCCTGCGGCTTGAATTGCTGAGTGCCCAGGATCACGTGGCGGAGGTGATCACGCGGATTCACCCGGGACACATAGCCCAGTTTGAGCTGATCGGAGCCAGCCAGCACAGCCTCCACGGTCCAGCGAGCCAGCTTACAGGCGTTGTTGCGTAGCTCCGAGGCCAAGACAGCACCGCGCTGGGTGTCCAGCTTCTGGCGCCACTCCACACTATTGGTCACCTTGGAGTCCCATTCGTTGAGCGCCCTGATCGAGAGGAACTGCAGCTCCCCGTTGGGGCCCTGGATCACGCCGTTGTGTTTGCAGCGGGCAATCAGCACTAGGTCGTTGCCCAGATCCCACTGACGGTAGCGGTAGCCCATGGAGGCCAGGTCCACGCCCGACTCCTCGAAGGGATTGGGCTCCTCGAACTTGAAGCGCGGCTCCTGGTCGCCAATGCGAAGTACCTGGCAAAATGTTGGAATAAATTAATAAATACAAAAAAATGTTTAAGACAAAACATATTTAATTCAAGTTTTTTTTAGAAAATATCAAATATAACATTAGTCAAATTTACTATTAATATTTAAAGACATTAAAAATCAGAATTTCATATTAAAATCAAAGACAAAAGTGTGTATACTCCTTAAAATTTCCTAAAAATTATTTAAAAAAGTTTTCCAAACATACCTGCTGACTGAAGTTATGGTTGATGAGCGTGGCCTCCATGGCCAAGCTGTGGGCCGAGTTGATGGAGCCCTCCTCATCCATTGGCGGCTCCAGCGAAGTCTCGTTGACGGTCAGCAAATCGAACTGAGTGTTATCCCTTTTGTCCAAGAAGACCTTGGTGCCCAGCTTCTCGATGACCACATCCCAGGAGTAGTTGGATCGAGTGCAGCACATGATGGTGGCCAGGATCTCGTCGGTGACAAAGACATTGCCCATGGTTTTGGCCAGACGACGGATGACCGGGTCATCGGTGGTCGTCACCGTGTGCACAACGCGATCCATCTTAAGTAGGGGTCTCTCATTGCGCAGATTAACCCGATCGTAGAGCTTGTCATAGTATTCCAGGGAGCCGCAGGTGGCGATGTCCTGGCCCTCCTTGATATTGGGCAGGGCGAGCTTGAGGAGGCGTGGAAAGTCAATCTCCTCGATGGATACCCAATTGGAGCGGACCATAACGGAGCTCTCGCGAAGTCTGGTGGGCGCATTGCGGGCGAATCGACGACCCACATTGCGGCGCGTATCGCGTCCCGACTTTCCATACTTGGTGCTGTTGCTCATCCCGCCCCCGGCCGAGGGTCCACCGGCCATGCCCACAAGGGTGCTGCCCCGCCCAGTGCGACCCCTGACCCGCACATTGTTGCGAATATTGGGACGGTAGCGACCCCGCTGATGGGGCCTAAAACCCTTCGATCCGGTGTTATCCACCAAATGGAAGGTGGAATCGTCGTCCTCGTGGAAGTACGCATACTGGCTGTTGTTGCCAAAGGACGAGGCGTACTTATTGGGGAACTTTTTCTCCGGCAGCGACACCGTCCAGTCGCAGATCTTGCCCAGGCGATCACTCTTGCAGAACGGCTGGTAGGGCACATCCAGATCGGGCACCTCACAAGGACCCCAGCCGTGTTCGTTGTACTGCACATAGGGCTTGATGAACGGCGCGTAGTTGGACATGACTCACCGAATAGGATTTATAAACCCAAAAAAAAGTAAAGAAATTTATGTAATATCAATATCACTATTGGTCTCTGACGGCGTAATAATTACAATGAGCTAATTTCGTTCACGTCGATTTGGCAGGTTAGAAAAACATTGACAAGCCTAGCAAGGACCACTTGTTCTATAAATATTTCGGGTGTATTAAAAAAAAAATACATATTTTTGAGAATTTTACACAACTTTGTTAAAGTTGGTTAGTACTTATTATATACTAAATAATAGACTTTACTGTCACGAAAGTGAACTAAAAAATTGAACTACAACTCGTTTTATATCATGGATAAAAAAATGTGTTTCGAACATGTAGTTCCCCTTCGGAAAAGGCAGAATATTGGTGATTCGGGGTATAACACTCTCAGCGGTCAATCTTTCCACCATAACATCATGCTGGAAAATGATTTGTCAGATTATTTACTTCATAGACTGCACATATACTTACATCAATTGGGCAGGAGTGGTTGATATTGGAAACGTCTTTAATAAAATTATAGAAGTAATTGGCAACGGGATTGGATCTCGGAGATTTTAAAAATTTACACGCGTCCATGGTCATATTGTAAAGGAAAGGTTTATAGCCATTAAGACGTTGATAAAGGGCAAAATTCACCTGATTGTACAGGTAAAATATCATTACCTTGATAATAAAATATATTCTTATTCAAATACCTTAACTTTTGTCACAGGAAGACGAAACAGTTTACATTTTTGTAGCGTGTAACGAGTAACTTGGGTGCGGTGAGTCCTACGATCCGTCCGTGCGGGTGCATGCTATGGGTCCGGCTCTCGCTCGTCGGCTTTGGGGGTGGTGGTCTTGCTTAAACGGACCGGCACACTAGCTACACATTATTATTTTTAAGACAAGATTTGAGCATGCTTGCGACAGAAGAAAGGCGAGATTTCAAAACCGGAAGAGAGTAATAGACAGATTCAGGAAAAGATAGTAAAGAATAGTAAAGTTCGAAAAAAAGCAAGTAAACGCGATGCCACAGATGTTGTAGTGGTCGCGGGATGCCCACCCAACCTATGATCACCATCCTCGAGCATGGCTCTGGTGACCCCTTTTCCCCTACGACCGCAGAATCATCGGCAGAGTTAAAATATTGAACTACTCAAGGTTCATGTTTAAATTCGAGTTCATTTAATCAAGATCTGAAATTCCACACACATTTTCATTTATAAAGTTTGTATTCATTACAAGGTTTTCCAAAAATTATCGGAATATAATATGGCTGCTCTTATACAATTTTTAAATAGAGGTAATTCAAGATTTAATTGTAAATGACGCAAGGGTATAGTAAATAAAAACGTATATAATAAAAAAATAAAGGATTAGAAATATAAAATAAAGATAATTTTAAATTATAAAATTCGATAATTAGGGATGTTCAAATATTCAAGTAAATCTTCGTTATAATTTCAGCATGTTTCTTTTCATTCCAGCCAAAATCTATTTAATTAACTTGTTATTCATAAGATGTCGCGATCGGCAATGGGCTCTTGTTTAATTCACTTTATTTTTCATAGGGTTTATTTATTTTTATTATTAATCAAGGGGTATTTGTTCAAGTGTGAGATATTTTGAATATATATATTTGGCAAAGATAAATGTAAGATTAAAACTCACTGATTTTTGTAGGCATTCCAGCGGCGAAAGATCGATCTCCCGGGCAGGTGGCTGTAACAGGCAAACTTGGTCGCCATGGGGTTAAATAATAATATTCAATTAAATCTCTTAACACTCGCGTCCCTTTTGAGGTTTTTTAGATTGAAATTCTGAGGCCCGAAACCGATAACGTCACCTAACTGGAATCTTGAACCGCTTTACAAAATTTCTTTACATATTCTTAATTAGATTTATATATTACTCTACTTTATTCTACAAAAAAAACGAACGTCGCCTTCCAGGTTTAGTTATGGGAAGGCATAGCTTTCCAAGCGCGAGGTCTCCGTGGCAAAATCGAAGGTATACCGAATTTTCTTCACCGTTTCGGCTTATTGGAATTAGGTAATGGAACCCAGTGGACTGTGGATCGTGGAATTCAGATTCCAACCGGTGAATTTGGAAATTTAAAGCATTAGGCGCGCGATTATCACTTATTGGTTTGTGTAGGTATGATTCTTTTCGGGAATTAGCTGGCTGACATCTACTTTATTTCCCGGAAAAACATGGTTGTTGGGCTTTAGGTTAGATAAGCGATCACTTAAAAAATAAGGTTTAGACTGCCATGCCACGTGATGCCTTCGCTGTAGGTTATGTGGGTCGAATCTCCTTTTAAACGCCTTGGATCTTGCTTATTTAAACGCCAATATTAATGTGGGGCACAATCTAGAACAAATTAAAGCCTTATAAGCACAAGCTCATGGTTTTCCCACCGAAATAATATTTATCTACCTGCTGATCATGCCCCCGCCGTACGGTAAGGGTGATTTGGAATTTTCCAAACGTCGTTTCCAGCGAGGTATTCCAATTTATAAGCCCCAGAGGGCACTTCTCTGCGGCGGCAGTAAAATGGATCTTAGACGAGGCTTTTACGCCAATCGTGACCCGGAGGAAAGATATCTAGAGAATATTTTGGGGTTAAATTGGAAAATGTCTGCCTTTTTGTGAGTTTTCACTTACATCAGAATTCTTCTGTAACCCGCAAAACACAAATTATGTCTTCTCTGCTGCTTGGGAGTGATATTTTAGCCCGTTTCGCGTTATGTTCACTATGATTTCAAAAATTTCAAATAGCGAATTGAAAACGCGGACGGATTGTACGTCTGGCTATCACGGTGGTCGAAAAGAGAAGAACGCTACCGGATTTTGGATAGGTGCGGTTAGGGTATGGGCGGAAGTTCGTGGCAGATGCATATGACAGGTGCCAGAATCGAGCTTTCCACTGCATCTCTGAAACAGCTGTTTCGAAATCTGGAATGGTTGGTAACTACCTAAGATAAACCCCGCTTTAACTATTTTGCAGTCAGCTTTTAGGCGAAAATTCTAAACCAAGTCGCTTCAGGCGCCGTTACAAAACCCCCCGCTACAATCAGACTAGGGTATTTAGTTCTAGATACCCTAGACTGATAACGCCTGGAGTGACTTTATTGTCGAATATCCTTGGCGTGATAATTGCCTAGTAATCGACCTTGTAAGTCTTCAAGCTCATAGTAAGAGTTACCTATTTTCCTCCTAATACGGGCTTTTACAAATGACGGTCCAAACTTAGCGTTGTAGCCCGTTTGGAAGCAACTCTGCTTGAAATTGCGGCGAAATACCTCTTGACCCTGTACAAACGATACTTCTCTTGCGCGTAAGTTATACCTTTTTTCGTTCACATCGTGAGCTTTTTGCATTTGCTTTCCAGCTTCCTCACGAATTATTTCGAACGAATCTTGTCGATTAAACAAGAGAGATCGGTCATCTAGCATATTCAACCTCCTCAACAATGCATAAGTCGAACCAGAAGTAACCATATGTTGGCCAAACGCCATATAGTATGGTGTGGTCCCTATACTTGAATGGATTGAAGATCTTAAAGCACAACATATCTTGTTAAGGTACTCGTCCCAGTCCTTTTGATCTGGTCTTAAGTATGCTCTAATCCCTGAGATAACTGAACGATTCACGCGTTCAGAAGCGTTGGCTTGCGGTGAATGAACAGCTGTTAGAATGTGTGAGATTTCGTACTGCTTCATCAGCTTCTGAAACGCTTCGGATCGAAACTGGGATCCGTTGTCTGACACAATGGTTTCGGGGACTCCGAATGTCATGAATAGCTCCCCCTCAAGATACTTTATTACAACGCTTGCGTTTATCTTCTTTACCGGTTTGAGGAATACAAACTTCGAAAAATGATCGAGGACTATGAAAATCCCGATATTTCCACTTCTTGAACGTGGGTAAGGTCCGAGAAAATCGATGAAAATACGCTGAAAAAGCCGAACGGTTTCTGGCGCTTTTCCTAACGGTGGTCTGAGAACATGATTTGGTGGTTTAGTCGATTTACATGTCTCACAGGCATTAATGTATGCTTTTACGTCAGGCACGAGGCGAGGCCAAAAATAATACCTCCTAACGCGCTCAACAGTCTTGTGTATCCCGCCATGGGAAGCCAACGGACTGTTGTGAGCCTGAAAAAGAACTTCGGGGACCAGCTCTGATGGTATCCAAAGTTTCCATGCATATTCATCGTGTACTTGTTCTCCTGTCAAATGTTCTGCCTTTCTATACAAGTACCCGTCCTCTATTTTAAGATCAGGAAAATTAGCTTTCTTCTCTTCAACTTTGGCTATCAGATCCTTGTAAGCAGGAGATTTAAAGTGGTTGGAAGTTAAATCAACTAGCAAACCTTCCTGCAAATCAACTGCCGCAACTTCGTCCTCGTTAACGCGGGACAAGGAATCGGGAACCACGTTCATCGTTCCTTTGCGATGCTCAATTTTAAATCGATATCTTTGCAAAGCTAACGCCCATCGAGCTAAACGAGAACTGAGATCATGGTTGGACATAAGCCATTTAAGCGAGGCGTGGTCGGTAATGATCGTGAAATCATGTCCTTCCACGTAAGCTCTAAAATTCTTCAAGGCTACTATCGCTGCCAAACACTCCTGTTCGGTCACGGTATAGTTTCTTTGAGCTCGATTCAGCTTTTTCGAGATAAAGGCTATAGGGCGTTCATCTCCTTCGGAGGAAACCTGTACCAACACAGCACCGACACCAGACTTGCTAGCATCGCAATGGATGGCAAATGGCTTAGAAAAGTCCGGGCTACATAACACCGGAGCCTCGCTGAGACGACTCTTCAAGAGTTCAAATGCTTTTAGAGCATCTGGTGTAAGACTGAACCTTCGTTTGGTTGTCATTAAATCGGTTAAAGGAGAAGCGAGAGAGGCAAAATTCGGAACGAATTTGCGGTACCAACCACATAAACCCATAAAACTCCTTAAACCTCGCAGGGTCTTCGGGACAGGAAACTCGGTGATTGCTTTAACCTTTTCAGGATCTGTTCGAATTCCGCCATCGCCAATGATATGCCCCAGATAACGTACACGTCGCATGCAGAAATGACTTTTGCCAATATTGATTGTCAGTCCTGCACGCTTGATGTGAACGGCAATCTCCCTAAGTACGTCAAGATGGTTCTCAAAGTTTGACGATACTACCAGGAGGTCATCTAAATATATGAATACCTCGTTCCTAAGATGCGCTGGGACGACTTTGTCCATCAAGCGAGACATCGTGCTGGTGGCATTGCAAAGCCCAAAAGGCATTACTTTAAATTGGTAGAGTGGCCTACCAGGGACTGTAAATGCAGTCTTGTCTCGGGATTGAACTTCCAACGGCACTTGCCAATAGGCATCTTTCAAATCAAGGCTAGTAATATACTCGGCTTTCGGCAACCGACTTAAGATACCGCTGATTTGAGGAAGCGGATAGGCGTCCTTTTCGGTAAAACTATTGACTTTCCGACAATCTAAGCAAATCCTGACTTTGCCAGGTTTTGTGACCATGACTATGGGAGAGGACCAGGCGCTTTCCGACTCTTCAATAACCCCTAATTGCAACATTCTGTCTATTTCAGCGTACATACTCTTCTCAACAGCAGGTGAGACAGGGAAATGGCGCTGTTTAATTGGCTTGGCACTACCCACGTCAATTGAATGTGTGATTAAACTAGTCTTGCCAAGGCCTTCCTGGGTAAATGAAGGAAAACAATTGATAACATTGGCTAATTGTAACTTTTCTGCCTCAGACAAGTCGTGTTGATCTACCTCGACCTCGCTGCTGACTTTGCTAGATTCTTTAGATTCTAGCTCGGATATATTCAGATTTCTGGGAAGAAGATCATACAGCCTCCAAAAGTCTATACCCAAGTATAGATCTTGTTTTAGTGATGGCACAATATAAATGTTTAGAGACTTTTGAATGTTTCCATATTCTATGTCAACCTTCATCTTGCCTACTATCCGTTGTGGGCTTCTATCTGCCGTGGTAACACTAACGTTTAACGACTTGTAAGCATCATTTTTCTTCATGAGTTCGCTAGCCAAATCACCTCCAAAACAACTTATGGATGCCCCGGAGTCAAGTAAACCATACACAGTGCGATCTAATAAACGAATCGGCAAAAACGGTCTAGGATCTCGTGTTCCGATAGGAACTGAACAGATATATTTCAATCCCAGCCGACAGGTTCTAATGTTTTGCCAAAACGATTTGATTCTTTTAGAACTCCGAGATTTGAATCTTTCCAAGGGAGGGTTGGAACAAAATTCTGGATTTGATATATCAGGTAGGGTTTTAACTTTACAATGCAGCAAAGAACTTACATTGCTTTTTGGAACGTCAGGGATAATTTGTGGTGCAATGAATGGTGCATCCACGTCTAATCGGTCATTGTTGACTGATTGCGATAGGTATTCGAAGCTTTCGGTTTGTACGGCAACTTCGAAGCGCCGGACTTGGAGTTTTTTGCACACTTCACGCAATTTGACTTGTAGATGTTATCTGCTCCACAGCCGTAGCAAAAAAGTCGTTTATCGGCTAAACAATCCTGGTAAATGTGGCCATCTTTGCGGCAATTCCAGCATTTTAAGGAAAACGCGTCTACTTCTAGATCGTTTTCCGATTCAGAATCTTTATGAGAATCAGATTCTGGAATCAGTTCTGAGATATCGCGTCTAAATGGGTTACCTTTACTATACCCGTGCGCGCGTTTAACGTCGTCGAGAAAAGCTTCGCGTCGACGACAGGTTTCTCTTAACTCTGAGACTGTTGAAATGTCGACATTCAGTAGTTCATGTCGTATCTCAGGCCTTAGGTTATTTTTGAGAACTCGGACAAGTTTTCGCGAGCTCCATGGTAGCTCTAGTTGATCGAATAAAATGTTTACGCTGTCGTAAAAGCTATCAAAGGTTTCGCTAGGCTTCTGCTTTCTGTTTCGGATCAACTCTTCGATGTCAATGTCATCCCTTTTCTGGCGAAATTGCATGCGCAAAGCAGAACATAGCAAATCCCAGCGGACTTCGGTTACCGACTTATGGTAACGCCAATAAAATTCGTTTGCTTTGCCCTCAAAGAGAACGCTAGCGTTCCGGCAAAGTACCGAGAAATTTCCATCTAACGTTTGATGCGTTAGCGCCTCAACTCTATAAATGAAGTTGTCTATTGAAACACCTGACCCCGAATATTTAATTTTCCATCCGTTTAAAATATGGACGACCTTGTCGGGTCTAGTTAGGAGATCGGAGATGTTACTCCGGTGAGAGCCTGGGGAACCTATGTTGGGCATGAGCCGATGCCTGTTTTGAATTTGTTCAACACCAGAAACTGGCTCGCTACCAACCCCGTCTACCGGTGGAGGAGTTGCGGGTCTCTCTTCGCTGCCAACAGCGGAATTTGGCGGAGTAGTGATCAATCTCCGTACACTTTCTTCTACTGTATTTTGGATTAAATCGGTAATCTTTTCGGAAAGAAGCGAGAATAGTCTTCGCTCCATGGAGACCATAGTGACTGTGTTTATTGCTGTTGCTTGATCAGTAACACTATTGTTGCTGCTCTGAGCGCTTCCAGATGGACCTGGGGTATTATCGGCTACTTCTTGTTGGCGACCTTTAGACTGAGACCGAGTTTGTAACCCCTTTTCGACCACTGGCCTGCAGGAAACTTTGCATACTGGGCACAAGTCACTTTTCTTAAAAAGCGCGTCAATGCACTTCTTATGAAACTCGTGATGGCACGTGGTTTCAAAATGTTCAGAAGTTGTTTTAATTTCAGCTTTGCATATCGGACAGACTGGCTTGGTGGCTTCCTGTGAGCCTTTGCTTGGTGATCGGTCTAACCCCATGTTTACGATAATTTCCAAAGTTAAAAAAAAAGGTAGCAATACGAAAAAAAATAAAACTTTTAGAAAATGTCTTTATAAAATTACTTCAACAAGTAATAATCTACCGTGCGATTATTTATTCTTTAATAACTTCAATTAAACTCTGCACTTGATGTCTGCGTATCGTAGGAAGAATAATATTTACTTCTTTAACGTTCTCGAGAAGGATGAATAGTTTATAGATGTAGATTAAAAGGGAGGTGATTAGGTTTCTAACAGTATGAAGCGGACTAGATATTTTAATTCTTCGAAAATGGATTCTCTAATATTCCTTCTTCATATTGTGGAAATCTAATCTCTCTAAGGCGAAATGTAAATAAACTCTCCCGTTAATCATTCGTGGATAGGGCACTGGAATTCTATGCCTCTATATTCCGTAACGCCTGTGTTAACGAAAACTTTTATTTACCGAAGAGTGGTTAAGACAGTGAAGTGGTAAACCAGTCCGAGCCAGAAGATCAACCGAAGTTGTATACGTTCTGTATTTTCATCGGACTAAGTTTTAAACAACATCACAGCCTAATGAAGGAAACTACTATCCCTGATTTCTAGTTGAGGCCAGAAAGAAGACTGGTGCTTCTACCTCTGTTATCCAGTCAATTATAAATCAAAGAAAGAAGTTGTGATTAGAAATGAAAGTTAAATGTTGAAATATTTGTAAGAAATAAAGAAAAGAATTTGAATTTATCTATCGGTGAGTCTTAATGAGTGAATACTGTACTCACAAAGGCCACACACGTCTGGGCGCCACTTTTCTTTTTAATAATAATGAATAATATCTGTAGCGTGTAACGAGTAACTTGGGTGCGGTGAGTCCTACGATCCGTCCGTGCGGGTGCATGCTATGGGTCCGGCTCTCGCTCGTCGGCTTTGGGGGTGGTGGTCTTGCTTAAACGGACCGGCACACTAGCTACACATTATTATTTTTAAGACAAGATTTGAGCATGCTTGCGACAGAAGAAAGGCGAGATTTCAAAACCGGAAGAGAGTAATAGACAGATTCAGGAAAAGATAGTAAAGAATAGTAAAGTTCGAAAAAAAAGCAAGTAAACGCGATGCCACAGATGTTGTAGTGGTCGCGGGATGCCCACCCAACCTATGATCACCATCCTCGAGCATGGCTCTGGTGACCCCTTTTCCCCTACGACCGCAGAATCATCGGCAGAGTTAAAATATTGAACTACTCAAGGTTCATGTTTAAATTCGAGTTCATTTAATCAAGATCTGAAATTCCACACACATTTTCATTTATAAAGTTTGTATTCATTACAAGGTTTTCCAAAAATTATCGGAATATAATATGGCTGCTCTTATACAATTTTTTAAATAGAGGTAATTCAAGATTTAATTGTAAATGACGCAAGGGTATAGTAAATAAAAACGTATATAATAAAAAAATAAAGGATTAGAAATATAAAATAAAGATAATTTTAAATTATAAAATTCGATAATTAGGGATGTTCAAATATTCAAGTAAATCTTCGTTATAATTTCAGCATGTTTCTTTTCATTCCAGCCAAAATCTATTTAATTAACTTGTTATTCATAAGATGTCGCGATCGGCAATGGGCTCTTGTTTAATTCACTTTATTTTTCATAGGGTTTATTTATTTTTATTATTAATCAAGGGGTATTTGTTCAAGTGTGAGATATTTTGAATATATATATTTGGCAAAGATAAATGTAAGATTAAAACTCACTGATTTTTGTAGGCATTCCAGCGGCGAAAGATCGATCTCCCGGGCAGGTGGCTGTAACAGGCAAACTTGGTCGCCATGGGGTTAAATAATAATATTCAATTAAATCTCTTAACACTCGCGTCCCTTTTGAGGTTTTTTAGATTGAAATTCTGAGGCCCGAAACCGATAACGTCACCTAACTGGAATCTTGAACCGCTTTACAAAATTTCTTTACATATTCTTAATTAGATTTATATATTACTCTACTTTATTCTACAAAAAAAACGAACGTCGCCTTCCAGGTTTAGTTATGGGAAGGCATAGCTTTCCAAGCGCGAGGTCTCCGTGGCAAAATCGAAGGTATACCGAATTTTCTTCACCGTTTCGGCTTATTGGAATTAGGTAATGGAACCCAGTGGACTGTGGATCGTGGAATTCAGATTCCAACCGGTGAATTTGGAAATTTAAAGCATTAGGCGCGCGATTATCACTTATTGGTTTGTGTAGGTATGATTCTTTTCGGGAATTAGCTGGCTGACATCTACTTTATTTCCCGGAAAAACATGGTTGTTGGGCTTTAGGTTAGATAAGCGATCACTTAAAAAAATAAGGTTTAGACTGCCATGCCACGTGATGCCTTCGCTGTAGGTTATGTGGGTCGAATCTCCTTTTAAACGCCTTGGATCTTGCTTATTTAAACGCCAATATTAATGTGGGGCACAATCTAGAACAAATTAAAGCCTTATAAGCACAAGCTCATGGTTTTCCCACCGAAATAATATTTATCTACCTGCTGATCATGCCCCCGCCGTACGGTAAGGGTGATTTGGAATTTTCCAAACGTCGTTTCCAGCGAGGTATTCCAATTTATAAGCCCCAGAGGGCACTTCTCTGCGGCGGCAGTAAAATGGATCTTAGACGAGGCTTTTACGCCAATCGTGACCCGGAGGAAAGATATCTAGAGAATATTTTGGGGTTAAATTGGAAAATGTCTGCCTTTTGTGAGTTTTCACTTACATCAGAATTCTTCTGTAACCCGCAAAACACAAATTATGTCTTCTCTGCTGCTTGGGAGTGATATTTTAGCCCGTTTCGCGTTATGTTCACTATGATTTCAAAAATTTCAAATAGCGAATTGAAAACGCGGACGGATTGTACGTCTGGCTATCACGGTGGTCGAAAAGAGAAGAACGCTACCGGATTTTGGATAGGTGCGGTTAGGGTATGGGCGGAAGTTCGTGGCAGATGCATATGACAGGTGCCAGAATCGAGCTTTCCACTGCATCTCTGAAACAGCTGTTTCGAAATCTGGAATGGTTGGTAACTACCTAAGATAAACCCCGCTTTAACTATTTTGCAGTCAGCTTTTAGGCGAAAATTCTAAACCAAGTCGCTTCAGGCGCCGTTACATTTTACGGAAATATATTTGTATGTCCGGTTCACAGACTTGATGTAACAGTATTCGATTTTGCAAAAGTCTTTATCAACACACTCACACTTTGCATTCGTAAATTCGTATAAAGAAAAAACCTAAAAGTACTGCATGAAATACAGTTTACAGAGATAGGGATTTTTTACCTTCGTGACCAAGCATCCAGCAAACAGAAGGAAAACCAAAGTAGAATATAGATTTCTGGCCATTATTAACAATTGACAGACTCATAAAGACTGATGAAAATGTGGAACCCGACTTAAAATAATCAATAAACAATAATAGTCACCATATGAACCAATTAGGTTTGATCAAAAAGCGATATTAACATTTACATTTAGACACGGGCTGTAATTTTTGCATTCCAAGTAGAACAGGTTGTGTTTTCTTTCCACTTCAATAAAATAAATAAGTGACAAAAAAAAATTGGTCAATTAAATGGTCAGCGATCTATAGATTCTATAGGATTAGCAACAATTGCAAAGCATTAAATTACCGAAGTATCTAAATTTAAAGACCTCAGATGTTTTAGAGTTTCATGTCACATTACCAAACAAATATACTGCCGAAAATGACGAGTAGGGCGCCTGGACAATGAATCGGAAGAGGACTCGCTGCCCTCCAGATGATGATGAGGTCCCTCGTCACACAACCGCAATGAAGAGATGTGTAATTGCCTGTTCATCTATCGGTTCTTCGTCAACGTCCTGCTGCTCTGCTTGGCCACAATTTTCCTCCTCCTTCGCATACTGAGCTAATCCAGGATGGGAGCAGGCCATCCCCTTCGAGCCGACGAGTTCATGCTTCTTAATATATTTTTAAAAAACCTTCACGAATAAATGTTTTGAGCTGTGGAAATTGTACGGGAAGGGGAGGAGGTACTGTGACACGATTATCACTTGACAACGCACCTAAGCTCATATCGACATGGCTCCATTCATATTACTCCGACTCAGTGGCATTGTCCGGGTTCCTTTCTTAGCTTCAGGAAGGCAAAGGAACAACAGCCGAGTGCACTACAATGGAGCGAGTGTCCTGTGTGTGCAGGATCTGGTCAACTGTCGTCCCCTCATTCCGGCTCGGTTTCCCTGTTCCTTATTCTTGGCTGGGAGCACCTTACAACAATCTCGTTAAGCGTAAAGGCCAAATTATAGTAAAACTAACAGAAGGCAAAAGGTAATCACATAAAAAGCTTGTTAGATAACAACGTGCGAGGCGGCGAAAAAGGAAGCGGACATCCTGCCCCTCGGCTCATCCCCAAAAAGCAACATGTCGAGCGTGTGAATGTGCCTGGATGTGTGGAAAATGATATGGGGGAAGGGGGTGGTGGTGTAGATGGGTGTGCGTTTGTGGTGGCACCTCCCAGTTGCCAGCTCCCAGATCCTGAGCTAAGCTTTGTCAAGCGACAGGGTGTCATGTTGATGTGTGTGTCACTGGCAGCTGCTGCTTACATGGCCCAGCTCCAGATTCCTTCGCACTTCCCAGTTAATACACAGAAAAAAAGCGTTGAGTTCAAACAAATAATATTACACTATATATTTTCTAGCTTTTATTACCTTATACAGCTGCTTACCCAAAATATTAAAATACATCGCAAAGTACAATCAAAATCATCGACCACAAGGACATAACAAATCAAAGAAACGAGAAATTATTTGTACTTAATTACCCATTAATTTCTATTGAAATTTTTTTTTTAATTTCGTTTTCAATTGGGTTAACTTTATTAAATTTGTAATAATAAATACTTTGGTGCGATATACTTAGTTTCCTAAAACAGAGTTATTATAATTATTTATTTCTGGATGTATTTGCCGTTGGCCTGACTTCATTTTTTTAGGTATTTTTTTCCCAGTGTAGACTTAAGCCGGGGATGAGTGTGCGTGCGGCAGTGTGTGTATCTGTATGTGTGTGGATTATAATTGCCATGCGGCTGTCAGTGACTGCAGGCGGCGCCTAACTGCACACAGCTGCAGATGTGCGGCTCGTGTTGCAATATCATTTTTAATGCAAACCGCATGCCACATTATGCAGCTGCATTGCCACGTCACCGCTGCGGTTTGCCCCGCCCCCTCCCCTTCCCCGTCCTCATCCCTTCTCATCTTCATCTTATCTGCCATCGCTCCTGCTGCTGAAGCTTTTCTACTGCCGGGTCTTGTAGGAAAAAGCGGCAGCGGTTTAGCAAAAGGAACAGAGCCAAGAATAATGCCCTGGCACATAAGTAAGTACTTACCCAGCGAACAAAAGCAACAAGAACAACAACAACAACTGGCACTTACTACTATGTGCTGCCAACAAAAATAACAACAGGAGAAGCAAAGTGAAAAACCGCTTGCATACTTTGCGGAGCTCGCGAGCGATAAACGACGCCATTGCCACCCGCCACACACCTCATTCTCGTCCTGTTGGAAAAGGGTATGCCATATACTGTGCATGAGATCCAACTGAAAGCGAAATTAAAAACACATTTTCCCAGCACAATTTATTTTCAAAATTACAACGAATTAATGCACACTGTTGATGGTATTTTGCCGTTTTATGACCACAAATATTGATAAGAAAACGATGGTGATTTCTTAGAAACGAGGGGATGTATAGCTAATTATGGATATGTTAAAGGAAAATAAAATGACTTTCCATTAAAAGGTATTTATTTTAAGGTATAAACGTATTTATGATGGTTAAATTTAAATTATGTTCCGCAATTTGGATTTCTGAACTCAATTATTAAATATTAGCCAGAACTTTCTAGCCTTAAGGTTTAATATTATTATGGCTTGAATCTTTTCTTAAATATTTTTTCATTTTCCTTTAGATAGCTTAATTAATGCATAATGGACAAATCCTTAAATTTAAATTTTGTATCCTCTTCTGTTACCCAGGGTATCCCAATTTCGTTGCTTAATTTATCACTTCTGATTTCGTGTGGCTCCGACGCGCGTCGGAAGCTCGGGCTGCTTCTGCAGCTTTTGTGTTGCATAAAAATTAAAATTTATGCCAGGCAACTTGTGCAAAGCACTGCAAATGCCATTGTTTTTCATTCCCCACCCTCCATCCGCCGCCGCCGCCTCCGCCACTGATGATGTTTTTTTGGCGGCGGAAGGACATTCACGTTCTGGGTGGCTGCATTCACTACCCCGCCCTTGTCAAGCCCACTTACATTCAATTCATTCATCTCCGCCAGAAAAATGAAAATAAAAGCCCCCGAAAGCCCCACCTCCATCGCGGCGCAGCCAGGCCATTCCCCATCGTAATTGCAGAGCAATTATACATACTTCCATCGGGAAGACGGATTCGTAATTAATAGCACATTAAATTGGGCCACAACAATATTAATTGTTCTGATTGATTTATGCAGGTAATTAACATATTAAGCAACTGAGGCGTATAAATTTCGTCGCAGGGGGAGGGCTGTTCCCGTTCACTCGAAAATTTCGTTACATCAATCAAATCGAGCAGCACAAAATATTTAAACAGCATGAACATTGGATAGGTGGGGACTGTAATCCATCGGATGTCGGAAGAATAGAGGCGGGACTATTTTTAGGAATGTCCAAAAGTATTTTAGGCCTAAGCATAAAGTCGTTTCCGTTGCTGCAAAGAACCCCGATCCGTCGTCCATTTCTGCGACTGAATTTTGCCCAGGTTCTTCGGACAGCCAATATTAGTTTCTGCGATTGCCAGGGTCCCCCAAAGATGGATCTACCCGAGGGAATCCTGATGGGCTTCGGCAATCCCCTGCTGGACATCACGTGCACCGTCGAGGACAACGTGATCCTGGAGAAGTACGGCCTGGAGGCGAATGCAGCCATCATCGCCGACGAGAAGCACGACGCTCTGTTCGACGAGCTAATGAACATGGAGAACGTTATCTATTCCGCAGGCGGAGCCTGCCAGAACTCGATGCGGATCTTCCAGTGGATCGTACAGACCCCCTTTCGAGCCGTCTTCACCGGAGCCGTGGGCAAGGACAAGCTGGGCGATCGCATCGAAAAGAGGGCCAGAGCCGATGGCATACTAACACTCTACCAGCTGAAGGACGAACTGCCGACAGGTATGATAAAAAAATTTTAGTATATAGAATTTGATCTTGAAAATATCGATATTTTCACAATATCTAATCGATAATATAGATTAATTTATGTTTGAAAAATATCGAAAATATCGATAATGGCCAAATTTTTCAAGCTCTCCTATGCATCATCTAAAATCTGATAATTCTCCTTCCCAGGATCCTGTGCGGTGATCATCAATGGCCAGAACCGCTCCTTGGTGGCCAACTTGGGGGCTGCCTCGCTCTTCACCGAGGAATGGGTGGACGAGGAGGAGAACGAGTGCGCCTTGAGTCGGGCCACCTACTTCTACTTCACCGGCTTCTTTCTGGCCGTCTGCGCCCCGGTCGTCGATCGCATCGCGCGGATGTGCTGCGAGTCCAAGCGAATTGTGATCCTCAACTTCAGTGCCGTCTTCGTGCTGCAGATGCAGCGGGAGGCACTGGCCAATATCCTGCAATATGTGGACATTATCATCTGCAATAAGGAAGAGGCCATTGCTTATGGGGACACCAACGACTGGAAGACGAAGAACATCTTTGAGATCGGATCGCGGCTGCAGAAATTGCCCAAGGCCAATTGCCGTCCCCGCTTGGTTATGATCACGGACGCCGTGTGCCCGGTGCTGGTGTTCCAGGACAACGATCGCGTTCTGGAGTACCCGGTGCCCAAGGTGAAGCCCGGCGAGGTGTTCGACACCAACGGCTGTGGCGACGCCTTCGTCGGCGGATTCCTGGCCATGTACGTCCAACGGATGCCCCTGGATTACTGCATCCGCACGGGAATATTCGCTTCCCAGCAGGTCTTGAACGTAGTCGGTGTTCAGATCGACAAGCTGCCAAAATTCAGCGAAAAGTGCATGTGATAGGCGGCAGTACAAAATTTATTCCATTAAATTCCAAATTTTAAAGTTTAAATACAGTATCTTTCTGCAATCCGCTTGCCAAACGCAAATGTGTTAAGCCAAATAAATTCTTAACTTGATTACCAGATTAGCCCTTTCCCACCCATAAGCTATCAATATAATAATTTAAGGCCCCAGCCTGTTCGCCTCTCCTCCGGCACATCCTTCGGCCCACACCTTTTCAAGCATATTCATGCCGGCAAGAGTCCTGCGGCTCTCGGTCTGCCTTTGGCTCCGGGAAAAATAAATACATTTAAATGTATAAAACTCCCCCTTCGGTTCTTGGCTCTTGGTCCTCGGGTGCTCCTGCCGCCGAGCTGTGGCTCCGGGAGAAAGGCAAACAGAAGTGATGTAAAAATATGCGTTGCATACTTTGCAACGCCAATGTAAATTTCCCCCCCGTCCCGCCGGGAGGAGCTTTGTCTTTCGGGTCCTGGCGTCTGCCGCCTGCTGCCTGCCGGCTGTTGACTTTGGCCTGACAAAATATTGCTACCATTTCAGAGTCGAAGACGCAGAGAACGCGTTCGGAGAAGAGAAGCCCGGGCAGCTGGACATGAGCACGTGCCGGAGGACAGTGGGCGGAGAGAATAAAATCAGGAGAGTGCTTTTAATTATTTGTTTATTTGATATTTAAAATGTGCAATTTTTCTACTTTAAGATTTTCTTTTAAGATTTCTGAGCTAAGCGATTTAATTTAGTTTGTATTCCTTAGGAAATAGAAAATCGTTAATTTATACAATTTTTAGAATTTTTATGGGGGGTTTCTTTATGATTATCCCAAATGATTTTTCTTAAATTACAAATATTATTTGTGTCTATTTTTACCAGAGATTTGCAACCACTGTGCAAAGGATGGTGCTGAATAAAGCAACGGACGGGGCGGTACACTGACTGTCTTCCACTGATTAAAACGATGCGTCCTCGTGACAGCGATTTTTTCTCGTTAAATCCTTAAATGTCGCTTCGTTTATCGTGAGCTTTGTTTTTTAACTTTCGCAGCGTCCGCCTTTCTCTGGGAATCGACTTCGGCTGGCCGCTGGTCGCTGGAAGAGCTCAAGCGATAATTTATGCATATATCCATGGTGATTTATGACATTATTCCCCCCAACCCCTCCAATCTCCATCTCCACCCTGTGTGCCCAGTGGCTCAGCGCTTCCTTTCCAGCTCTCCGTTCTGGGACGCCGCGCAATTAGCTGTGGGAAAAATGAGCAGCAAACAGCGAGTCAAAAGACTTCCTTTGTCCAAAGCCAAAGTCAAACAACTTAAAGCTGAAACTCCGGCTAAGGCCCTCGATTACTTTGCATTCTGCATCCGCAAACTTTTGCGGCTGGCGAACGGAGAACGAAGAACGAAGGAAACGAGCTGAAATCTTGGCTAGAAACTTTTCAGATTTGTCATATGCACATCTCAAAGCTAATATCCTGACACATGGCTCCTCGACCCGAGGGCCACATGAGCTATGAGTTGTGACTTAGGTGAGATCTCTGCTCACGAGTCGGAATCCGGGCTGACAGCTTAATTACGGCAGTCAGGAGCCAGATTTTGCACTCGGCTCCGGGCGGGATTTTAATTAACTGGGCCTCGAATGTTTTATTAAAATCTTTGTGGGTCTCGAATACCAACTTAATTTATTGGTGGAGTCTCGGTTCAGTGAACAACGAAAGTTCAAATATCACAATAATTCTGGGTAATTCGGAAACCTGTTAGGCATCGTATACTTTCAAGTGAAAAGTTTGAATTTTTCCCTTGGACCGAGGGCTAATTTATGCAATTAAGTGATTTAATTTGATTAGGCCGAGCTCAACAAAAGACAGACAAAGGCCAGGAATTAGAAGCCAAATCGAGAGAATAACCAAAGTAAAGAGGATGAACTTCGAGCCCCCTGGCAAATTGCACTTGTCATGTTCGTATAATTGTGTCTGACCTCGGGGCTCGCAGATGAAAACTAGACAGGGAATGGAGGGACAACTCAGCAGACAGCAAAAAGCAAACAAACACGCATGACGTGGAGGGATGCTCATAAAAATCACTCATACGCAATGGGGGACAGCGGCAATAGGAAGCTCCCAGTTCCCAGTTCGCAGGACAAGTTTCAAATGCTACTTGTAACTTTGTTACAACAGCCACCGAGCAGTAAATGTTGAAAGTTCCCCGCATCGTGTTTGCACTGGGAATGGCGAAAGTTTCTTTTTCTGTGTTTCATACTATGTAGCCAGCCAACTGTCGGCCAATGCCAATGTCTCGTCATGAACCCTTTTTGCGGACCCAGACCCTCAGACCAATCTTCGCCAAGCTAGTTTCCCACTCATTTTCTCAGTCAGTCAGTGAGACATTGTTCTAAAGCCACAAACTCACAATAAGCTATTTTGCACGGCACAAAAAAGTACCAGAAAATTTTAAAATTCTTTTAGTATTTTATTATTTTTTAATTCATTTCGGAAAAAATCTTTCAAATTATTATATATTATAATTTATATATATATAAATTATATATGGTGACTCTAAATGTATTATACACTCTTTACTACGCTCTAAAAATTTAGAAAGAATCCTGAGACAACATATTAAATAATAATTTTGGTATGAACAATAAATTAATATTATAACTAAGTCTGAAAAATCCTAAAATCTTTAAAGTCCCAAAATGGATATGAAGATTAAAGAAAAGGCACTGACTTTTTTCCAGTACACCCCATCTCAAGTGCTGATTGCCAATGCCATTGTGCGCATTGTTCTGCTCTGTTTGTTGTCTGTTGGGGTTTTACTACACACATCTATGTGGGGGGAGTCTGTGGATTATGTGAAATTATCGAAGATTTCCGGAATAATGGCGAGTCGTGTCTCCAGCTAATGCCTGACATGGTTTCGGCTGCGGCCAATGATTTTGCCGAAACGAATCGATGGAATTAAGCTGAAAGCATTTTCATTACATGTCGCAGCCACATGGCCATTATTAATTGGAAACTTTAAGAGCAGGGCAATTCATTGACAGCGCATTTTGCGTATTTTAAAGAACTTTAAGCTTGTTCGCCAGTCTTGCAGTTCCATTCCCCCGAGCAGCATCAATTGCAAAATGTCTGAGTCATTTGCATAGAGTTATTCCAGGATTTTGCGGAGGGCGGTGGTGGTGGTAAAAGTTTTATGTTAGCAACGAAGAACGATAATTTGCAGCAGTTACAATATTTCATGGAATATCTCTTGGCTTTTTCTTCTGCTTCTTCTTGTTCTTTATTTTTTTTTCTGCCACAAAACTTCAATAAAGTAGCAGCAATAAAAAGCGAAAAAGATTTTTCCTTTGCTTTATGGCGGGATCAATATTTTGACAACCGCAAAGTAACACAAATAATGGACAAATATTCATTCTCTCTGTGGCCATCCACATTTTCATGTGACAAATGTCGCAGACCGAATTGTATAAATTGTGCTAAATATATACGTGTGTGCGCCTGTAATACATTCGAGTGTACATAAATAAATATGCAATGCGACTTGCAATTGTTTGATTGGGTTCTTTGGTCCCTGCTTTTGTGGCCACTCAACGCTAATGGACTTTAAAGTGTGTTCTCAAGCGTTCATTGCCAGATTCCGCCCCAAAGACCCAACACACTGGATATCTAAAAAGTTTCTTTGAAATTCCAAATTTCTCGGCTTGCATTGCTGTCGCACATATCACGCATACGCCCCCCGTTGCAGTGGCATACTGAACCAAAAAACGAACGGAGCTCGCTGGAACAGATCCAAGTGAAGCCAACGAATCCCGGGGAAATATCCGATCCAGGAGCAGCTGGCCAAATAATGAACTGCCAGCCAAGAGCAATAGCAACACCAACCCAATCACAATTACACTCGCCAACCGAGGAGGAGCGCAAAAAGTCTTCGTTGGCCCATTGTCTTTGTTTTTCCAATCTCGCAAATGGCTTTCATGCATGTGCGAATGGCTGTGTGTTAATTAGCAATATCAAGAGCACTTAAATTTGGTACAGATTATAACACCAAAAGTTGCTCCTTCCCACTTGGACTGTCCGGATTGTCGGGATTGTGTGTTCTTTGTTCTGGCATCGAGTTCAATTCTCAAGTTGCTCATTTCGGGAGCTGGCTGGCTGATTGTGTTTGTGGCCGAGTCGGCTATTCGATTGCCAAGTTTTGACCATTTTTGCAGCAGCTGGAAATAGAAATAGAAATAGTTGGGCTGTGGGCTAAAGATTTCAAACTCCACTCCAACAATTCCGTGGGAATGCGAATGGGAGAGAGCATTTGAATAATTCCGGACTGGGCCACTTCAAAGGCTTGACCAACTCGAGCGCTCAGCTCATTTAAACTGCATCAGGCAAGAAATGCCTGGATCCAAAGCCAACCATCAAAAAGGCATTACCGCAGTCAGAGCGCAAAAAAAATGGGGGAGGCAGAGCGACGAACGAAAGAAAACTAAATGCACATTTAACAATAAATGAGCAACGTTTTCGGAAATTAACTTTCAACAACATGTGTTGAAATGCATTTATCTTCCGCACCCATAACGAGCCCCAGCAGAACTCAGTCTAGCGGCAGGATGAAACCGAAACCGAGGATCGCAGGGAGGATAACATAAAACAGAGGTGGAAATTAATTTGAGCGCAAGAAAAAGAAGTGGAAATTATGAGTGGCTGCCAAATTGTGCTAAATGAGCCCAGGCAAGTGGAAATTAAAAGCGAACCGGGTACAGGAACACAGTCTCCTAACCGTTTTATCCCCATCCTTTTTCCCTTTTCCTATCCCCCTGGAGCCTTTGGGTCTGGTCCCTGGAGCCACTTGCATTATGATTGCATCATTTGGGGCTAATTTGCATTTAAATACTTGGCTCTGTTATTGTTCGAGTGCAGCAGGGAAACTTTTCGAAGGACCAAGAGCAGGAGCAGAAGGAGCAAAAGGAGTGTATGGAACAGGAGGAGCTGCAGGAACAGCCAGCCGAGCCTTGGGCACCTCGGACAAAGTTATGCCAAGTCAAGGATATCACGAAAATTGTCCTGCTGCAGCCGGACAACTTCTGTTAATGCGTTTGAATAATGAATGGCAGCGGGAAGGGAAGGGAAGCGGGACTTGGGGTTCCGGATGGGGTTGGGCCTTGCACCTTGAACGCGGCGTATAATCCCGCAGTCCTTAGCAGATAACAATGTACAAACTGGCGCCGTCGGCGTCCAGCCGTTGATGGTCATTACTTAAAGCGTCCGTCCGATGCAGCAACGCGAAAGCCGAGAACAGCGAGTAAACTCAAAGAAAAGTGTGAATCTAATTCGATAATTATAAATAATACATTTTTGGAAATAAATCAGTGATAGAGAATAATCATATTTATAATTATGGTAGATATTTCCCGCTTATTTAGAAAAAAAGGAATACCCTAATGTTTATACAAGGATTCTCTCAATGACTATTTAACTTTAGATTTTTTCTAAATTACTTAGGTTAAATATAATAGAATAGATGATGTATTAATAAATAAACTTCTGACCAAAAACTAATTAATTTAATATCCATTATCTGCTTATTTTTCAACACTTCCCCTGATTGACAGCGAGATTCTTTTGAGTGTGGGCAAGTGAGAACTGCCGGCCATCTGCCTGGTGTAGTAAAGTAAAGCGAAGATTTATTGAATGGCAAATGAATCATTTCTCTCTCTTTCTCTCTTTGGCGCTGAAACCTGCTACCAGATCTGCAGCCCCCTTAACCCCCCCGTCCAATCCCCTCCTTCATTTCGTCGCACTTTTAATAACTTCTATAAAAGTTTTATGTCTCTCGGTGGCAGCAAACTTGCATGCTGCTGCAACAGAGCAAAAAGTTTGCGTGTGTTTGGCACTTGAAACTTTACTTTCGCGGGATCAAGAAGTGCTGGCTGAGAGGAGAGGCGGCGTTTTAAATGTAGGTATAGCCATACAGCCGTATATATGTATAGGTATTTGTATGTATGCAAAGGAAAATCGGTGGAAAATAATCGCGTCAAGTATTTAAAGTGGCATTAAAAATATTGAAAAACTCGATAAATAGTTGTTAAGTATGCTGCTGTTGCTGCCAGATAATCTGCCCAAGGGGGAGTTATGCTGGCGCAACGGTGCGTATACGTGTTTCTGCACTTTGTAAGTGGCTCCAACTGGCATCGAAATTCCTTCAGTGGATCCCCTGCACTCGGGAGTGTTTGCCTTCGTTTTTAGGGCTGGGAAACTTGAATGAATTATGACCTATTCTCCCTGACTAAGTGAGTGCTTTAAGGAATAATGCAGGGCAGTTGTCTAAATATTTGGTTAGGAGAAAGAATAACATCACTTGGGGAAACCAAATCGATTCTGCTTTTGTTGTGCTTCCTAAACTAAACTATTGTGGGGCAGCAAATATTTAAACGGGCAGTGGTTTACCATGATATTCTACACCCATCTGCATTTTGCACACCCAGATGTCACCGCAAATGAGTTTGGCAAAGATCATACAAGATTTCGATGCGTTCAATTAATTTCATTGATTGTCCCAATTACTTTTGCGGTTCTCGATGCCTCGAGAGATACGGATACGTATATATCGTAGTTGAGAGAACGCGACATCTCAGGTGGCGATGAGGCTGCTGATGTGTGGCAGCTTATTCAGTTCAGGCAATTGATTTGCCAATTTGCCAAATAAACAGACTCGAGAGAGTGAGTGCTGCACATGGATGCGAAAGCGAATGCGAATACGAATGCGAATTCGAGTATTTGCCTCAGTGCGCCAGTCTATCAATTACCGATACAACGAGACGCTAGACAGACAGTTGGCCATTGAGAATCGAAAATTGCACCTCGGGCAGCTGCTAATTGGGGTCCATTTCCACAGTTTTAATTAGCCAACGCAGCTGAGTGATTGCCCAAATGAATGGATACTTGCGTACCTTTCCGTGTCTTTCGAAACTGGAGCAGTTATCAGTTGACAACTGTTTAAACACGTGTTTATTGTTCGATGATTCTGTGAGATATCTTTCAGTGGAAGAATAACGTTACCAACAAAAAAGGTCGCTTAAATTGTCTTTTTCGCCGCTGTTAAAACGTGAGCCTCTTTAGCTCAGTGGCAGAGCACTGGTCTTGTAAACCAGGGGCCGTGAGTTCAATTCTCACAAGAGGCAAAGGTCATCTCGACTTTTTTGCATAGATTTTTCCTTTTTTTTTCCTTTCGCCGCTCTAAACTATTTGCCGATTCCTGCATATTTCAAGCTTGATTGAACTGCTGCAGCCCGGCTTTTGGGGGTCCTCAATCAGGAGTTGACATTTTCGATATTTGACTTATGCAGGCGAGGGGATCGCTTGCCGCCGACTTCCGAAAACCCATTCCTATTCCCCGCTTAGACAACTCAATTGAGTGACGGCTACGATTTCTCCTCGTGTCGCTGCTTCCACTGATTTTGCTAGCGAAACAGTGGAAAAAATGTGAGATTTTGGGGGCCATATATTTAACCAGCAAAGGTGAGATATTTGGGTAATATATGACCTCTCAAATAAAAGTCTTGGTCAAGCCAGTTTCATTGAAAATATAATAGAAATTTAACTGATATTTAATTGAGAAATTTTACAGCAATAAATTAAGCTCAATAAAATTACAGAAAACTGGTTGCAGTTCGTTTTTGATAAATAGTTTTTTTTTTTAGAAAATTCCTCATATTAGTTCTCATTAGAATAGAGAAATCTTAACTTTGTAGTCGGTAATTGGAGGATTTTGCCCATCGCCGGACTCCCAGCACACCGAGATGCAATAATTTGTGATGCCGTTGACGTTCGTCCCCGCCAACCGACGCCACCCCTCACCCCTCCTGCAGCCACCTCCTTTTGATGGGCGCCCACAAACACACACACATTCACACTCACACTCACGCACAGTGAGTGAACCGCATGCCGAACGATTCACTTCCGCCGAGATCCTTTGGCAACTTCATCATGCGCATATTCACAGTTCATAAAACCGATTGGGGGAGCGGAGGGAGGTGGGAGCAAGGATGCGGGGGGAAGGACACCACTGACAGCGGCTCAGCAAATCGAAATAAAAATTTATGTGCACATGTTTGAATTTATTGCCCGTCTTTGGGTGCCTGCTATTGCCATCCCTCCACGGAATCCAGGGATCCACGGATACGGCAATCGGGAATCGGGAACTGGGAACCGGAGGATTGAGATCCGGGCACAGATTGCGAGTCCTTCGTGTGGCGCCCGCTTGCGTGTGTAAATGTTATTCAATCGAATGTGAAATCATATGAGCGCTTGCTCTCCACTCATAAACATTTTATTTACCTTTAATTTCGTGAAAAGCTTCTTTTTGTGCGGCCCCCGTGATTTGGCACCCGTAACCCCCAATTCCCATCCCCCCAGCAGATGTTCCTGCTGCTCCTGGCCAATTCTATGCGTGCGATTTTTATGACTAAATAAAATGATTTTTTACTCCATGGACGGAGGAGGTTGGAGGGTGGAAGTCACGGCACTTGACGCAAAATGGCAATTCTTTGTTTACCCAATGAAAGTGTTTAGCCATAAAGAAACAGCGACACACCCAGAAAAATGATGGACAACATTTTAGGTCATGCATGGCCTAAAACATTTTAAATGGACTAAAAGTTCCTTTTTAGGTCATGTACTGCCTAAAAATTTAAATTTTTGGTATATTTGCCCTACTATTTAGGTCCCGTATAGCCTAATATTTTAGGTCATCGTGGGCCTTAAAATTAATGCATTTTACCTAAATAAATTTGCACGGAACCCCTGATACCGTTCTAGCGACGCTATAATTCCCAACCAGTTATAGCGCGGCTTGCATGGTAACCCACTTCGATCGTTGAATAAAACAGCGATTTCACTGCTGAACAGTGAAGCCTCTTCGCTCGTTTTTGTGTGTTGGAATAATGACGACTTCTTGAAGACTAAGCCGACATTGACCTCGAGTTACCTATAAATTTCTCTGTATTTACTTTATAATATGAAACATTTTTCAGTACAAATTTTTAGGCCAAAGAAAGCCTAAAATTTTGGATAGGGGTTTTCTCATATTTTAAGGCAGCCAATTACCTAAAATCTAGGCCAAAAATTACCCCATTTTAGGCCATTAATGGCCTAACATTTTGGTCATACAATCCTAAATTTTAGGCCATTCAAGGACTTAGCTCCAGTTTAAGGCCAATTTTACCTAAATTCTAGGCCATTTTTTGACATTTTAGATCATTTTTTTTTCTGGGTGCACGATTCCCGTTGAGTTATGGCCCAAATATCCGCCCCAAACTCTCGCAATATTTTTATAACCAAATTGATGGGGGATGGCAACGTTAATCAAATGTTGTCGGCAATTGTTTTTCAAAATGTTACTGGGCCTGTGGATTTGTGATGTGATGTCCTTGACCCAGGAAAAAGACACTAGGGATTTATTACTAAATCTGTAGTAAATAAATCATTTGATCTTTTCACTTACATGTAAGACACGCCATTTATACTTCAGCATTTTCTTTATTTGATAAGTGCACATGGACATTATTCTGAGAAGCGAAGGTTGTGGGCGACATTTGAAGACAAATTAAAGCGAAAAGAACAGATGGAACACAAAAATCGGAAAGTTTCCCTAACTTAACAAACTTATTATTATGATAATTATTATCCCAGAACTCAGTTCTTCTTGGACAGGGCAACGAAGAGATCGCGGGCGTATCGGCGGACGGCCTTGCCGTTGTGGTTCTGGGGAATCTCGTCCGCGAACTGGACGCCGGCGCGCATCTGCTTCTGGATGTCGGGCAGTCGCTTGGCTACGTGGTCAATCACCTGCTGGGCGGTCAGGGTGGCATTATCCTCCCGAACGACCAGGGCTCCCGGCACATCCCCCTGGGTCTCATCGTACACCCCAATCACGCACACCTTCTTCACCTCGGGCAGCTCATCGATCACCGCCTCCACCTCGGCTGGCCACATCTGCAGACCCTTCCACTTGAGCACCTCCTTCTTGCGGTCCGTCATGTACAGGTAGTCGTCCTCGTCGAAGTAGCCCATGTCGCCGGTGTGGAACCAGCCCTCCTCGTCCTGCATCTCCTTGGTGGCCACCGGATCGGCAAAGTAGCCGTTCCAGTTGAATCCATTGTGCACGATGATCTCGCCCGTCTGGTTGATGCCCAGTTTGTTGCCGTCGTCGTCCACGATCTTCACCTGGATTCCGGGCAGCGGGTTGCCGGCCGCCGTCAGCTTCAAATGCCCGTGGTTGAACACAATGAAGCCCACCTCGGTCATGCCGTACGAGGAGTTGAGCACTCCGTTGGGCGCCAGCTTCTTGATCCGCTCCACGGTGGCCTGGGTCATCCGGCCGCCTCCGAAGTTCAGCTTCGTCAGGCTGCCCAGCTTCTCGGGCGTGGCGTCGGGGCAGTCCAGCAGGGAGCAGCAGTGCTCCGGCGGAATCAGGGCGTACGTAATGCTGTACTTGCTCACCAAGTACACGAAGTAGTCGGCGGTGAAGGGCTTGCTGCTGATGATCCGAGTGCAGCCGTTCACCGTGCTGAAGATGGTGGCCCACAGACCAGTGATCCAGTCCAGGCTGGCCGAGATGAAGATCGTGTCGTAGCCATTGACGAAGCTGTGAACGATTTTTGGGAAATTAAATATTAATATTAATATTAATATCAATTAAAGGATGGTATATTTCTATTTTAGTAAGATTAAATATTAATTAAAATATTCTAATAAACTTACACAGTCTCTTGGGTGAGAATATCGTTGGAGATGCACACAGCCTTGGGCATTCCAGTAGTTCCCGAAGAGGTGAGGATGGCCACGGTTTGCTTGGGTCCCTCCTTCAGAGGAGTGGGCCTATAGAGGGGATACAATTTCCATAAATAACCGAACCATAGAACTAATTTTATACACTCACTGATAGAAGAACTCGGTCTTTGTAGGATGCAGCAGATCCTGAATGCTGAGGACACCATCCCTACTTCCGGTGGTTAGAATAATCTCTGGCTTGAACTCGCTGGTAGCCGAGTACAATTTCTCGTAGTGATCAGCGTCGGTGAAGATGATCTTTGGCTTGGAAATAGTATACAAGTGCTTAAGGGTTGCTAAAATAAAGGAAATATGATGTCATTAATGAGTTGAAATATTTTCTACAAAATAAAATTATTAAAAATCAAGGTAGTTTTAGGTAATAATACTTACATTCCTCGAGGATCGGATTCGCCGATTGGAAGGGAGTGCCATGGAAGAAACAGGCCACGGCAGTGGGCATAATGTAGGTGGTGTTCTTGGCGGAAATGCCGATGATGTCCTTGTGGTCAAGACCGCGGCTCTTCAGGTGCTGGGCAATGCGAATGGCCCAGGTGAGGGCCTGACCGAAGGTGACCTCCACGCTCTCGGTGTCGGAAATCTGAGGAGCCACTGGCCATTAGAGAGGTCCTGTCCTGCGACACACGCACTGATCAGGGATCACTCACCTGGCAGACGTTCTTGGGCCAGTTCCTCATGTTCTTGAAGATGATGCGGCCAAGCGAGGTCTCCGGCTTGAAGGGGTTGTTCTGCGGAATACCCTTCCAGATCTTGTTCTCCGCATCGTAGCTGCACGGTAACTTGGACATTTTGCGCTGCAGTAAAGTTTGAATGCACACCCGAAAGATCGGCCACTATCTGTGGAACTACTCGCTCCGAGGGGCTACTTATAAAGACACGGATCCCCAGGCGGCTTATCTGGGGGCCGATAAGCATGGCCTAGGTTAAGTGCAAGGTATCAATGAAAGATAAAAGGCATTGACCAAAGTTGACCACACGAGCCCCGTGTATGCATATCAGATTTATCAGCCTGCGTTGGGTTCTTTAATTGAAGGGTGTCCTTAGTCGTGATAAGAGTTATTAAATTTTAAGCCATTCGCCGGTCAATGGCAGCGACCATCCCTAATTGCTTGAGTGCCTTATCTTCATTCGGGGTCTTGGATTCCCCCTTATATCTGTGGGGGTTATGTAATGGGGATATCATACCACAGGAAGAAATTATTTTCAGGCATTATTATTTATTTATAAACACGAGCCCTTTGGCCGAGGCTTTCAAAATCATAGCAACAAAGCCACCAGCATTGTTTTATGGTTTATCTAAAACTCGGTAAGTGATCTTTGGACCTTGAACCGGGAATACCTCATGACTGCCCAATGCGTGATACCAGAAATGGAATGGAAAGTTTGAGCATTTTTTTCCCACCTTTTAATTAGTCACCCGTGGATTATCGATATTGACACGCGCTCTTAAAGTGTTTACTTGGGGCTATTTTCAGGTATATTTTTATCCGCCTTTTTTGATATGAATACAACATGATATCCCATTCAACAGAGCCATGATAATTCGGGAAATTCCCTCAAACGAAATCTACCCAATTCAGTGAAATTGAATGGGTTTTCTTTTGGCCAGCTCTCAATGCTTTTCCTTACATTTTTGCCTCTTATTTTCCCTTTTTTCCTCCGCTGCGCTGCGGCTGACAAAAAGTTGGTGCAGCGAAAACGTTATTTAAATACCTTGGCGAAAAAGTTTGCTCGCAAGATATTTGCAAACATCTGTTTCCTGATTTTCCAGCAATGGCAGCCAGCAGAGAAAATCAACTTTCCGTTCCCGGTGGCACGTGAACTAAAACCCAATTCTGTGGCAAGGCTGCCGATGATGAAGTTCGGCTGTGGATGAAGTTCCGGTTACAGCAGACCTGCGGTTGCCCTTAACCAGCAAGGGTTTTTACCTGGCTAAAAATATGTAGAAATGTTTTGGTGAAATACAGTCAATAAAATTCCCTTTTTATTCCTAATTAAAGGGTATTTAAAATCTTACAAAAAAAACGGTTACATTTTCCGATCGGATCATCAAAGCGGATTGAAAGTGAATTCATTCAACTCTAAGTGGGCTTTAATTATTGTTTAAAGTGCCCATGCTTTCAGTTCGGGCTTAATAGCAATAGCTATTTAGATAAGGTTTCGCCGGGGGCTTATGTACCCCATATTACAAACAACGCACTTTGATTTGGCTCGAAGTAATCTTATCGGGCCACGACTTGAAGTAGGGAATTAATTTTTCCGAGCCAAAACTATCGTCATCAGGGGCGGGAATTACGTGGAATCGGAGGAAATGGAAGTTGATTATCGGAACGGGGTTATCTAAGGGTATTCCGTAGGCAGACTTGGGAGGAAGTATTTCCTCGAATAGCCATGAATGAACTATTTTTTGGTCGCTGCTGCTCTTGTTCGATTTTTGGGATAGCCGTACTTCAAGGGCCGGCCAGTTGGAAGATATTCGCGGCCCCAGCGAGCTGGGTATTCTTATAGCGGCTAACCAGCTAACTGGATAACTGGCTAAGGTAGTTGTTTGGGTTTCCCGCCCAGTGGTTCTACTTTTCTTTATTTTCTTTCCGTGAATTGCTGGCTGTGCAACTTATTCGCATTCTGTTGCAGGAACTGCTTTTTGCTGCTGCTGCTGCTGCCCCACCTCTTGCAGTTCAGTGTGTTATTATGCACTGGTTTTTCCTGGTTTTTCACTCACATTTCTTTCTTTTCTTTATATATACCTACTTTTTTTTCTGCCCTTTTCTGTGTCGCTTCTTTTTGGCCCATTTCCTTTGGCCGCCTTTCCTTCTGCTGCTGCTGCTGCTGCACACAAGTTTTTCATTTGTAATTCAAGATGTCAGTCAGCTGGGAGAACCAAAACTTAATTAAAGTTCCGCACTTTTACAGAGCCAACTCCTTACTTATCCCGGCTATCTCTCTTTCCTTTCCGTATGTATTTAGCCAGTCCCAGAAAGTCCGCCCATTTCGCTTAAATTCAAAGTGTCCGTCCAGTTTCACATGCCCCCTTTAGGGGGGGTTTATCTTTCAGGTGCAAGTTTCGCTCGCCTTGCCGCACCTGCAGCAAATGTCCGGACTTGCGACTTTGTTAGCCTCGCCTCCGGATACGGGTCATCCTCATCCTGATCCCCAAACCCCCCCTCCACAGAATCCTTTTCCCGGAGCATGTGTGAGCGTAATTTTATGAGCTTATTTCATACTTTTCACTTCTAATTTGGCTGCAGGCACAATGCCAGGTGCAGATTTCGACTTGTTGAGTTCTCCTCGGCTAGGTGCTTTCATTTTCATCGGGTGATATCGGTTTCACTGACGGCTCACCGTATAAAACATCTAATTTAATTAGCTGACACCGGCGACGGGTGTCCCATCTTTTTGTTCACCTCTATTTTCCAACATCTGTTAGGGGAGAAAGCGGAGCGGGAAAGGCGAGGAAAAGCTGCAGGAAAAGTAATAGGACTCATTATGTATGCATTGAGTTTCCAGTGTCCGGTGGCAGCGACAGAGAAACTTTTTGATAACTGTAATTAGCATATGAAGAAAATCAGACACGGACAGTTTTCTTTGGAACGCAGACAGGTGGAAAGCCGTTAAATGTATTCCATTCCAATTAGGAATCCAACTTGTGAACTGGTCTGTAGTAGTAATTACAGCTCAAACTGTAGGGAAAATCAGCATGTTGAGCTAAACGTATTGAAGATATAAGAATTATGTTAAAGCTTGCTGCAAAAATATATTTTGTAAAAAATATAGGTATTTGGAAGATATTTACTATGGTGGAGAATTTTTAAAATGGTTATCCCTTACAATTAAATTAATAAATTAAATACCAGGACTATAGTTATGAATATTTTATTAACATAGACTAGAAAGGATGAGTCCGATATTTAGAATAGATTATTTAATTGAGATAAACATCAATTATCTTATCCCCAACTATATCTACGTCACTTAAACACTTCTGCCTCATTCGATCTTCATGTTAGCGTCTCTTTGAATCGATTAACACTTTCATTCGCTTTGAATCAACGACCATTTTTTTGCCCCATTGAAATCCCCCAAATCTCTCTTAGCCCAGGCTATCTCTGTCGGTTCTCGTTGCATCTATAAATACCGTCTTGTTGCCCCGTTCGTATCCGTGGGATTCGCGACTGAGCCGTGGGATTACCGACGTATTGCCTTGGATTGGCCACAAACCAGAAACGAGAGAGGTGACCAATGTCAATGCCATGGCCATGGGCATGAAAATGGCCAAATCCAAATGCACAGACCGAAACGAAACAGAAGTGCCAAAAGGCAAAAGGGGAAGCACTACAAAATAATCCAACGGTCGCCGCGAGAGAAACACTTCCCATTTCTTCCGGCCGCAGAGAGAGGTGATTAAATCAGTTAAGAGCCATTGGCCATAGCAGCCCGGGGCCAAATCCCCCCGACCAACCCATTCAATCCCATCCCATTCTCACCTAGCCGAAAACATTGGCGCCTTCCCATCCGCTTTTTGCCCTTGGCTGTTGCACATTTTGTGTTTTGCTCTCAACGTTTATTTTGGCCTTCTTTTTCTGGCCAAATGATTTAATTTTCATGCATTTCGCTTTGCGGCAATGGCGATGCTTATTAGTCGCAATTTGCCAGCTGCGGCCAAAGTTTGTTCTAGCCGAAAACCAACAGCAAGCCCCAGAAACTAAACCAAATAAATTTAATAATTGCTGTCCCGAGAAGTTGATAGGATGGGTAAAAATAAAGGAGGCGGTGGCGGTGGAGGAGGAGGTGGTGGAGGGGGCGGAGGAGGCGGTGGCGGCAATGTAAGCAATATTTGTGTTATGCAACTTGCGTACTAATTGTGAGTCTAACTACTTTTAATCTTCATCTTTGTGCTTAATCAGCTTAACGCGTTCTCATCAGAAACTTCTTAGTAACTACTTATAAAACTTGAGCATTTTAAAACAGAATTTTCAGTATTATTGGACAATGAAATGCTTATAAATACAGAAATATATTTATTTTACTTCCTTTTAATTTAAATATTCATAGGCGTGACCTAAATTGTTGAAGAATTATTACATTATTTTTTATGCACAACGGAAATAATATTTAATTTTGAATGTAATTAAACAACTTCTAACCCTTTGGAATCGCGGCCTCCTCATTGCAATCCCTGCGCCAACTAACCTTTTTCTCATTTACTGACTTTGCTCCGCAACTTTGAACAACCGTGGCTCGTTATTTGCTCAGTCCCAGCTCAAAGCGAAATCTTTCCGTGTTTCTTTGCCCACAGAAAAAGGGCGGCGGTGGCGGAGGAGGCGGCGGCGGCGGTGGAGCCGGAAATAAAAACAAAGGCGGCGATGGAGGCGGCGGTGACAAAGGTGGAGCCAAGAAAGGACAGGACCAAAAGGCAGCCGCGGGCGGTGGCAAGAAGGGAGGCAAGAAATAGCATCGGTGGCAACATCAAAGCGCATTAAAAATTACAAATTTAGAGTTAAGTTGGAATTAAAAGTGATATCAGGGAATATGTATCTATAATGTGTATATGCTGGGATACAGGTTAAACATTCTGAATGCTCGCTTTAACAATGGAACGGCGAGGAGAGAGGGTTCCGCATTCCACTCGGATGCACTTCACAGGCCACTTGACTCGACTCCTCTAGCGGAACCACTCCTGGGACATCCCGAAAAAGGAAGCTGCGCTCGATTTGGATTTGCTGCCGTCTCCCTTGCGGGCACCATTGCCCCCCGACTTCCGCGTCGGTGTCGTTGTCGTTGTCGCCGTCGCCATCTAAGGGTGAAAGCAGAGATAGAGTGTTATTAATTAATTAGGACTATTAATTGGTAGTTTGTCTGATTAATCTGTTAATTTGCGGTTGGGCCCTCGGATTTATGGCGAGCAACAAACAGCAACAAACGGAAAGCGAGCATAATTAGAGAACGATTTATACCGGCGGAGATCGCAGCTAATTACAAAACATGCGAGTAACGGCCAAGTAGCCACGGCCATAAATTAACATTTGCCCAGCGATTTGATTTCAATAATTGCAGCGATTCATTAATTAGCATCTGAGGCACTCGTCCTTGCACACGCGTTCATAATATATACACAATCATCCTGCCGCTGTTCTGGCCATCCACTTGGAAATTTCGGTTTGGGTTTCAAGCGAAACTTTCGCCAAGCACTTTGCGGGCGAAGTGGAGAAATGGGGGAGAGAAGGGTGGCGGAAAGTTGCACCTAATTAAAATTTGTCTTGCGGCATTCTGGTTTATTTATTGCTGGATGGACCAAATTAGTTTAATTAAACTGCTGCTTCAGTTTGAAGAGCTTTCCAAATTCGGAAATGAAGCATCTAATGAAGGGCGAAGAGGAAAACTCAGTATTGGTTAAAGAGCTAATATCATGCAGCATGCAAACGGGGAAAGATAACAAAATATCAACCATCAAATACCATTCCTACCCAACCAGAGCAAATGTTGAAACTATTGACTTAGGATTGCAATCGATAGAAATCCTAGGAAGAAACATGGGAACATATATAACTCGATAAAGTTTACATATGGTATATTAACGCTGGGGGCTCTCTTCTTTTGGTTGTTCAGGTAATTAAAACTGAAAGTAATGTCGACAACCATTAATAAATATATGGAATACACCGAAATAGGTAAGCAAATTGAAATCAAAATCATGTTTTTTAAGGGAGCCCCGGCAGCTTCATCTATCTTAACCCTTCTACTCACTTTCTCCGCAGGTTCTTGTGCCACGGATTTCCGTTCGATCCCAGTAACTCTTCCAGCAGCTTGTGGCATCACAATGGGCAGCAGGGGGAACCAAAGGGACGTCGATCCGGATGAGCTGAGACACAGCACATTGGGATCTGCTTCATGGGCCAATGAAGTGGCTGCCTGACTTGGAGCAGTTGTCGCGGGTGTCAGCACGCCCAATTCGCCTTGTAGGCGGCTCGAAGCTCTGGCCACATGCGCAGTTATGTGCTCGGCAAATAGCTCAAAGTCAAAAGGATCAATGCAGTCGCGCAGCTGGCTCTGCTGGGCGTGAATCTGGTCGTAGAGAGCCCGCTCCTCACGCGTAACGGCGAACACGCGCTCCAGGAACTTCAGATCAAAGTACAACTGCAGGGCAATGTTCTGGGTGGATTTAGTGCACTCCGACTGGGCTAATCCCTCATAGTGGATGAGCAGTTTTTCCAGAAGCCGCTGGATGAAGGCTTGCAATACTTTGGGTGGCAATGTTTGAGGAACAGCCAGGTTTAATGCCTGAATCAGCTGATGGAGATATGTTTGCAGCGAGAGACGCGGCTGACTAGGAATGCGAATGGTGGACTGAACACTCTGCTCCTGGTCCTCGTCACGCTGCTCCAGAGTCAAGGTCTGCCAAAGCTGTAAAAGAGTTTATTTTCAATATATAAGATAATTTTAAAGACATTTCATTTAATTACCGCAAAGTCGCTGAGGACCACTTCAGGGTTGATGACCTTCGGCAGCTTTTCCTCGCAATTATGTCCGTTCAAAACATCGTCAACGATCAGCAGCCAGAAGGACAGCATCTCCTCTTCGATCAGGCCGCAAATGCGCTGCCAATGCTCGATCCCGACACCCGCCAAGTTGTCAGTCCACTGCCGCCAACTGGAAGGCTGGCAGAAGCAGAGCTTCAAATTGGGGCACAGTTCCACCAAGGCCAGGCTATTGCGCAGAGCAAGGAGCAGAGCAGGCCGCTCCCTGAGCTGCAGACCCTTGAGGTTGGTCAGATACTCCGTCAGCTGCTCCTCGGCCGTCTCGCGGAGGAACTGGATGAGCGAATGCTTGTCCTCCGACCGCGTTGTCTGCTCCTGCAGCATTACATTGAGCTCCTGGACGATGTCCGCCAGCTGTGCGTCGAAACGCTTGCACAGCTCCATTGTGGCGCCATCGTAACCCTTTGTACGATTGGCCAGCCGTTTTGGTTGATCGCTGAGTGCCGCCGCCAAGCTCAAAGGCAGGTCGTCGCTCTGTTCTCGCCAAATCTGTTGCGGCGACTGTCCGCCTTCGATGAGTAGGAGCACCTGTTCGTAGGTCTGCTTCATGGCTGCCGCCCAACTGCTGCGTATGATCTCCCGCACTCTGGCATTGATCAGTGGCACGTACTTGCGGGCGTAGAAGTCCAACTGGCTGTGCTGCAGATGCAGCTGCTGTTCTAGGCGCACAAAGTCCGGCCGACCATTGGTCCTGGCCGCCGACTTAATGTCCTGAATGGTTTGCATGTTGCCGACAAGGGCGAATACTTGCTGCAGGTGAGCCGCTGCCAGGGCGTTCATCTTGTCCAGCCACTGTTGAAGTGAGGAGCCTAGTTGTTCCGGCGTTAGCTGAGGAACCTCGAATTGCGGCTTGAAGCCGGCAATTATGTCTGGTAAAAGGTGAGCCAGCTGGCGTTCGCTGCTCTCCATTCGGTTGATGCTGGGCGGACACGTGGCGGAGGCGCAGTCCGCTAGGCGGGCGAAGAGAAGACTGTCACCTGAAAATAAGTCATAACAGCTCAGTTAGAATAAACTTGTAATAGTCTTCTAATACAAAAATGGCAGACTCGTCTTTAAAAATAGCCAGACGTTGTGGCGTCGAAGTGAAAGGTGCCTTGCGGCTCCTCTGCTCCAACAAGTACACGGACCAATTGGAGGCCAAGTCCCACGACAGTCGCATCAAGAGCGGCGATTTCTATGGTATCTACTTCCTGGACAAACAACCGAGCACCTATTTTGTGCTCTTCCACAATCGCGCGACCAGACATTGTCGCGCCCTGTGGCCCACAAATGGCACACAGTTCCATTGCTTCGACGGCATTGACAAGAACGCCACGCAAGTCAGTCTAGGAAAAACGGACTTTGCCACCTGTATGCATCACAGATCGACTTACACCGACGATCTGTTGGAAGCGTGTGGGGTCAAGTCTTTCAGTCCCCAGCCAATGATCACCATAATGCATTATCGGGCAGTCGAGGGGAGCAGAAAGTGTGGAAACTTCCTCGGCCAGCGGACAGTTTCAATGGGAGTGTCTCCAGATAATCTTCATACTCTCGCTGCTTTTGTGTTTTTTCTTGAGATTACTCCAATAAATGGCTTCTCACCTAGCAGACACTTGTCCAGCAGCTCCACGGTGCTATTGAGTACCCCCAAGCTGGCCAGGATGCGCTCCTTGACGCGACGCGGATCCGAAGGTCTGCTTTGCAGGCAGCTCAGAAAGGCGGAGGAGCGCAGGTTCAGGAATGTCTTCAAGACAGCACTCAGGTCGCTCTTGTCCAGCAGCAGGAGGCTCTGCAGGCAGTCCACGGCCATCTCGGGATGCAGTTCCTCCCTCTCCAGGGCAGCCAGCACGGCCTGTTTGATGGTGACGTGAAAGGGACGCAGGATCTCCCACTGCTTGCGGGCGACCGGCAGTTTCTGCATCAGGGCACTCTGCCCGTCCAACTGCAGGCCGGTGCTGATGTGCCGGCTGAAGATGAAGAGCTCGGTGGCGGCGTAGAAGCGGTCATGGTCCAGGTGCGTCCAGATCAGTTCCGGCAGGGCGGTGAGCAGCTTGATCTGGGCCATGGTGCCGTAGTAGGTCTGCAGCTTCCTGCCGGCACTCCTCTGCTGCAGCGCCGCGTCCTTGGGACTCGGATTCGTGGTGGACTGGAAGCCCAGGAGCTGCTGCTCGTTGAGGCTGCGGCAGTTGGCCTGCACGTGACGCACTTGCTCCATGAGCGTGCCCGCCGAGGTCTGCATGGCTGCAATGGTGTCCGCCGCCTGCAGGAGGTCCCTGTACCGCTCGCTGATAGGCAAAATATCTTTAATTAGATGGGAGTTCTTTGGGACTGCCGGAAATGCCACATCCACATCACTCACCCGACATGGTTGCGCAGCTCCTCGCGCTTGTTCTCCACCACCGACTGGATCTTCTTGTGCACCACGTCGATCTCGGACACGCTGTGCTGCTCGAACAGCGTGTCCACGTTCAGGTTCAACAAATTGGCCGTCATTTATCCGAAAAATGGTTTTTATTTTAAAAACAATAACAAATAGCAGTGTTGCCAGAGGGCGGAATGCCTTTCATCCCAAACTGTGGCCATTTCTTGTTTTGGTATTTATACGGTCCCTCTGAAAAATCATCGTTGATATCGATAGACCTATCGTTAACCGATATCGAATTATCGAAAAAGTAACCGGAATTCAAATTTAAAAAAAGCATCAATTTAATTTACTCCATTTACTTCTAGTAATCAGTTTAAATAACTAACAAAAAGGGAAAATTACTGTCAAAGAAGAACGATTTAATGCATCGGTTACAAGATTCAAATTTAGTTTGTTTTAATTTATTTTATAAATGCATTTCTGTAGTACAAATTAATATATGCGATTAAAAGTATTTACTCTAGTACTACGGCAACTTAAAATTGGGTTTCTCAAATAAGAGTAAATGCAATATTTCGGATTTGTCTTCCAGTTCTACGATAAAATCACTCCCTGCCCAATTCTTGGAGCACTGCGTTAGCAATCACGATCCTTTGGATCTCCGAGGTTCCCTCGTAGATCTCCGTGACGCGGGCGTTCCGGTAGTACATCTCCGCGGGCAGATCGGTGGTGTAGCCCATCCCGCCCAGCACCTGGATGCACTGGTGGGCGCAGAAAGTGGCCGCCTCGGAGGCGTGAAGCTTGGCCATGGCCGCCTCCTTGGTGATGGGCAGCCCGTTGTCCTTTAGCCAGGCGGCGCGCCAAGTGAGCAGCCTGGAAGTCTCCACCCGGATGGCCATGTCGGCCAGCTTCTGCTGGATGAGCTGCATCCGCGCCAGCTGCTTCCCGAAGGCCACTCTCTTCTGCGAATAGTCGACGGCCAATTCCAGGGCAGCTTGAGCGATTCCTGTGGCCTGGGCGGCGATTCCGATCCTTCCGCAGTCCAGGGACTGCATGGCTATCTTGAAGCCATCGCCGGGAGCACCAAGGACTCGGGATCGAGGCACCTGGACATCCTCCAGCACAAGCTGGCATGTCGACGTGGCCCGCATGCCCATCTTGCTCTCCTTTTTGGCTATCGAAAGTCCTTGAACATCCTTGGGCGTAAGAAAGGCAGTGATTCCCTTGTGCTTCAGGGCCTTGTCCACCGTGGCGAAGACTATTCCACCGCTGGCCTCCTTTGAGTTTGATATCCACGCCTTGGTGCCGTTGAGTATGTAGCTATCTCCGTCCAATTTGGCCGTAGTGCTGGCAGCTCCTGCATCCGATCCGTTTCCGGGTTCCGATAGAGCGTAAAAGGCGATGTGATCACCCTGGGTGTAGGGCACCAGGAAATCGCGCTTCTGATCCTCCGTTCCGTGCTGCTGCACTGCACCCAGGTACAGGTTATTCACGCCCATCACGATAGACACTGCTGCATCGCCGCGAGCCACCTCCTCCATGCCAATTGCATAGGCCTGGTAGTCGAGTCCGGAACCACCTGTTAGGGGAATTCAAAATTAGATCAAGAAATTACAGGAAAACATCAAAAATATCTATAAGTCCCTTGATTTTACGGATGATTTTGGGTTAGTTAATGTGTATTTGCCTTTCGGATTTTCATCTTATATCATACTAATTTCTTTCTGTTGGATAATCTTTTTTCAGGTACTCACCGTACTCCTCCCGTACCGCCACCGCCATCAGGCCGAGTTCCCCCAACCGGCGGATCTGTTCCGCCGGGAAGAGCTCCTTTCGATCATGGTGCCGGGCCTTAGGCGCCAGTTCCGCATTGGCAAACTCACGACAAGTCTTCTGAAGAATCTGGTGGGTCTCGGGCAGGGCGGCCAGGCAGGCGATTCCCCTGTCTCCACCTCCGATTCTCCGCACACTCCATGCGCCGCTCGATCGTTGACCTGCGAATGGGGGAAGGCGGCAAATCGATCATCCATGTGGTCGTGAATCACCCAGTTGCTCACCCAACGTCCGCGCCACTCTGATCAGCTGCTGCATTCCGTCGTCCAACTGATCCCAAGCTGGTAGTGCCGAAGCTTTCTCCACAGTTTTCGCTTTCGTCGAAAACGATCGAAATAGAACCGCGGAAAACAGCTTTTATAAGTAGCTTTCGGCGGCGAATTTCAAGGCAGGGGCGTCTATTTGGGGTTCGGGGGGTCTTTAATCTTAAAAACATATAGTAAAAAGACAAAAACTAGACAAGAGAAAAATTTTTCTTTTAAATTTTTGTTTAAAGAATAATTTTATTTAATTATGAAACCCCCTCTGCGCACGTCTCTGTTTTTTAAATATAGAACTTTAACTATATATGGCTACCTTCCATAATCGAAAGTTGTTTGTTTTGGAGCTATCTTTGTAAAATTACCGAGGAGCCGGGCTAAAGATCAGCTGGAAATGAAAGAAAAGGAAAGCGGTTCAATGGTTTTTGGACAAGAGAATCCATCGGGAACCTTGTTGATTTCCGATACCGGCTGAATAATTAATGCTAATGCTAATTCCCGATACACACCCACTTTCGATGAGGGGTACAAAGTCCTAGCACTTTTTCCTGAACAATATATCAAATAAAAACACCTCTTAACGAGGTAAAAAACTAGTGACGACCGCACCTTCAACATACAAAAGTTCTGATATCAACATTTGTGACGAAAAATTATTACACTCGTCATTAAATAGACTTTCTAATATTTTCTCATTCGGCCCGCCCTAGCAAACTATTCCAACCTTTTTCCCTTCACAGGCATTTTCTATTGCAGCGTGCCGAATGAGAAAATATTAGAAAGTCTATTTAATGACGAGTGTAATAATTTTTCGTCACAAATGTTGATATCAGAACTTTGTATGTTGAAGGTGCGGTCGTCACTAGTTTTTACCTCGTTAAGAGGTGTTTTTATTTGATATCAGAAGTTTTTGCTTGCTTACTTTTGCTCTCATAGGAGCTAATATATACATTTAAATTTAAATTGGTCAATCATAATTTTTAAACTATTGTATTTTAACAAATTGAGTTAAAAAGGCGTTGAAGTATTTCAAAATACCTTTTAAACGAGGTATAGCACATGTCTGTACCTTTAGTAGTGTAGAACTTACAAACTAACGAAATTTAGCTATTTTTAGCTCTTTCCCGCTAAAGTAGCGGCTTTTTCCAAAAGTCGTAGAACAAAAGATTCCTATATGGAACTCTTAAGTGCAAATTTACTGATTCCATGACCCTAAAATACAGTTCGGATACCCTCCCACAAAATTCAATACTCAGGGAGCGTTAATTGTTCGAGCTGGCAACAGTGGCTATTTTCGTATAAAAATAACTATTAAACGTGACTTTTTACAGTAATGTGTTATATACCAAAATTTAAGGAATCTCAAGGGCTATACAGTTTAAGGTTTTAAAGAAAATCGTTAGAGCCGTTTTTGAAAAAAATAAAAAAAAGCTAAAAAAAAAGTTTTAAAAAATTGTCTTTTGTTTATATTTTTTTAACTATTACATTTACACAAATTGCATATAGAAGGCGTTTATAGCATTTCAAAATACCTTTCAAACGAGATGCAGCACAAGTCTGTAGCTTTAGTAGTATAGAAGTTACGGCTTTCCGAATTTTAGCTATTTATAGCTGTTTTCCCGCTAAACTAGCGAGTTTTTCCAAAAGTGGTAGAACAAAAGTTTTTTATATCGATGTGATGAACGTCATATCAAATTTTCAGAACTTAAAAACATGTTTTGGACAAGTGGACAAGTGGACAAGTGGACAAGTGGACAAACTGACAAACAGAATTAAATTTTCATTTTGGGAAGAAGAAGAAAATCTTATTTTGGCTATAACTTTTGAACGGAGCGTCGGATTTTGACAAATGACCCCTCATTCGACGGGTATTTTCAAAAGGAATACAAGTAAATCATTGCGAGGGGGCATTTATCCCCACCGGCCCCAACAGCTCCAAATTTCTAAATTTTTACTTTTTCACTTTCACCGCTCTCTCTCCCAATCCAATTGATTTTCTTAAAGTCTTGGTATGCAATCCTTTAAGTTTTTGCAATACCTTTCGATTGGTGTATTACTCATTACGATCTGACTATCACAGCAGATTTTAATTTCTTCGTGTATATATAGTAGTCGCCTTCGCACACTCTCCTGGTGCGCTTCGTCACTACATGGACTGCCGTCCATAGTGACAAGTGGAATTTCAAATTATTGCCCTTTGCATATTAAAAAGCAAGTGCTGACTTGGAAATTACAAGAGACACGTGTTACATAAGAGTTTGATAATGCCGCAATGTTTGACTAACCTTCAAATGTTTATGAAAGTGATAACAAAGCTATGCAAATTATCTTAGGGCTCAAGTCAACACAGTAGCAAAATTTTAAATGAAACTGCACTTTTCTGCTCTGGTTATGTAATTGGAATAGTATGTTAAAACAGTCGAAGGCCGTTTTAAAAAACCAAAAAGTCTTAAGGGAAAACCAATTTTCATTATTTGGTTTAAAACAAAGCTATGCATATTAGGATGGGCTTACGAAGGCAATATGGCTTACAGTTAGGATCCACTTCTTAAGGACTTTTTACTAACAACACTCGTCACACTTATACTAACGCCATCTGACGTAAATAAACCGAACTCGAAAATTATACATGGTACTAGAAGTTCGCTGCCTCACCGTGTAGAAAACTCGACTGTGTAGATTAAATATAAGACTTTTTTCGTCATAAAGGAGTCTTGGCCAACTCGAGGTCATGTGGCTTAGGTCTCGAATTTAGGCTAACACGCAACAAGGAACAAGAGGCTTTACTGTATTTTCATGTTTCAGTTAGTAGCCAACGACAATCTTAGGCACTAAAATCATAGTAGCCAAAAAAAAAACTGCCACATCCCTGAATTCCCATATTCTTTCCAACTAAGCTGTTGACCGATCAAAATTGTAGAATTTTTGCAATACATATTTTTAAAAAACCTAGATGAATTATCTAATTCAACGCGGAAAGATGCGCCAGCAGGCGATAAATGTTCCAGAGGGACTGCCGGAACTTCTATCCGATGTTACAAGGGAGGTTCTACGATGTCAGCCGAAGAAGGAGTGCCTCTGCCAGTTCATCATAGACTATCTGCACTCTGTTATCGTGACCAGGGAGAAGGCACTGGGTGAGTTACTAATGGAAAATAATTCTAAATCGTATCTAAATACTAAGTACCATCTCCTGTTGCAGTGGCCAAGACCATTTTGGACCGGGCTTTGCGACAGGTGGACAGCATAATATCGGACCTCTGTGTCTGCGATTTGTCCAGGGAGAAGTCCGAGTTGATGGCCCAGGTTCTGGAGGATTGTTTCCGCAACTTCCTGGAGAAACGGCGCTGCGAGATGCGGCGCGGCAAGCAGACAATAAACTTCGAGGACGTGGACATTCTGGAGGAGCTGCTGCAGAAGTGCAAGTTCTCGGACGAGGAGCTGATCATGTCGCGTCCGGCCATCGAGAGTGCCTACAAGCGCTTCGTGGAGGCCTACATGTCCGCCGAACGAGGCGCCGATGGAACCGAGCTGCTCTACCAGTACTTCCGGGATCGGGAGCTGAAGCGGATTAACGAGGCAATGCGCCAACAGGCGGCCATCACAATTCAGGCCGCTTGGCGTGGCTATTGGGTCCGCATGCAGTTTCCCCAGGAAGTGTGCGTGTGTGTTTGCGCGGCGGTAAGTTTAGAGATATATTTGGGGTTTTTTTCTTTAAAGCTGGCATTGATTTTTTGATTCCACCAGGAGAAGGAGGACGACGAGGAGGAGAAACGCAAGCAAGAGGCAGCGAGCATCCTGCAACGATTCTTCCGCAAGGTCATGTTGGTAAGTAAAGGAAGGGAAGGAATGGATTCAAAATAAGTTTCCTATAGGTAACTCCTTTTTGTTTTTCAGCGTGCTGCCACCAAACCTATCGAAGATCCCTGTGCGGAACCCTCGGATGCCACGGAGCATGGAACGACGGCAGCGACATCTTCGACAAAGAGTGGGTATGATGATGAAACTGTTCTGGCGACAGCGGTGGCTACTGCCGCTCCAAGTGCTGCTCCTAGTGCTCCAGGAACTGCTGCTCCGACTGCTCCGGCAACTGCTGCTACAAGTGCTGCAGCAACGGCTCCTCCAACTGCTCCGGCCACGGCTCTGCCATCGGACACCGGTTTGGCAGAGCCAGCAGATCAAGCTCCACCGGAGGGGGCCGAACCAGGAGAAGCTCCGCTGGAAGAGGCACCTCCGGCCGACGAGGCTGCACCACCACCGGCAGAGGATTCCGCACCACCAGCCGCAGAGGAAGCGGCACCACCTCCTGCCGAAGAAGCTGCACCACCAGCTGCTGAAGAGTCAGCACCACCGCCCGCTGAGGAACCTCCAAAGGCGGAGGAGGCCGCTCCACCAGCTGAAGAATCCCCCGCCGAAGAAGCCGCCGAGTAGATGAAGCTATAATATATTTTTTTTCTTAGTTTTCCTTAATTGTTAAATTGATTTTCCCTGCAAGTGATTAAATCGATCTGAAGGATCTGAAGATCTATTTTTCCTCTACGATTCCATTTGATCTCCTATCCATTCACTGAAGGTTGAGACCCGAGTGTAGACATCCGGAGAGATGTAGAGACCACAAACAACCAGGCCATAGGACACGATGCCCACTTGCTTGAGGCCATTTTCCGTTTGCATTACCAGAGGTCCGCCAGAGTCGCCCTAAAATAAAATTATTATATTATTATACATTAAATTATCTTAATATTTAATTCATTTTAATTCAACTCACCGAACAGGCCCCTCTAAAAGGTCCTATTGCGCATATTTCCGTATCCGTGACGCTCTCCATGCCCGCATCTCGGCACTCCCTGTTCGAGATCGTGTGGTAACTCATCCGCTGGAGTACATTTGGATAGTTGACTTCGTCCAGAAAGGGAAAGGGCACCGGTAAGCGGAGGCCCCAGCCCGTCAGGGTCACCGGAACTCCACCGCCCACGAACTCTTTTTTCTGAGATTTATACTCAATGGAAGTAATGCTGCCATTGTTCAGTTTCAAAGGAGGTTCAATGGACAGCACGGCAAGATCGCTGGTCACCAGTTCTTGGTATTTGGGATGGATACTGTAGGATAGAACCTTGGAGCGGGAGCCCTTCTCGTTTAGACCCCTGATTCCAGCCACCACAGACATGCGACTGGCATTTAACCCCTGACAACAGTGGGCTGCTGTTAGGATGCGATTGGGAGCTATGATGGATCCACCGCAGAAATGCATTTGACCCGCACGGGTTTTGTACTGCAGGGAAACCTGGTAGGGTATATGTTCGCCGGGTGGGACATCAGCACCTCCCACAATCCTATGAGGTGTATATCCACTGGGTTGACGAGCTGTTTGAGTATAGATTTCATTAACCTTGATCATCTTATATTAATCCAATTGACACTCACAATTCAGTCTGCCAAACACTCCTCCCACAACTATAACTCCGATCATTAGTAACTCAGTCAGACCCATCGTTCTTTCGTTAATGCCAATGGCTTTCCATCTGCCACGGTACTTAAACAAAAGCCAGGCCCCCATTAGAGAAGCAATTTGCATTTGTATCGCAAATATCTGGGGCACTTTGGCTACTTGGTTATGCCATTAAATTTGATCTTGAAATTGAAATTATAATGAGGTGCCATGCTGGTGAAGTAACCTAGTTAGCTGGCTTGCAAATGTAGAATGTAGGTGGGATGTGTAGTTCTTTGCCATGGAATGCCTAATTTATTATCAATAATTATAGATTGCTTTGAGTTCGTACAGAAAGCTGTTGATTTTATTTAATTAAAGATTTGAAATGTTTTTTTTATAAGTTGATAATTTAAGCCATTCTTTCCTTTATCCAACCATCGAACATGGACACTCGGGTGTAGACATCGGGGCTGTTCGAGGCGCAAAAGGCAGTGCCATAGGAAACCACGCCCACCTGTTTGTAGGACTCACCGTTCTTCATGACCAAAGGACCACCAGAGTCGCCCTGATAACGAATAATCAGTCATTATATCTCTTCCAAACATAATCTAAATAATCTACTCACATTACAAGCTCCCTTGCCGAATCTTTCCAAGGCACAAATCTCAGTATCCGTCAGTTGGGTCATCGTCTCCTTGCACTTTGAATTACTCAGTGTCTTGTAGTTGAGTTTCTGCAGCACAGTGGGGTATTTGGCGAAGGGTCCTGTGCCAAAGTGGAAGACCGAGCCCCAGCCGGTGAGGAGCACCTCCTGGTCGGCTCCAACCAAATCCGAGCCACTCACATCGATGGTGGACACTCGCTTCTCGTCCAACTCGAAGGGCGGATCAATCTTGAGGATGGCAATGTCGCTGGTCACCAGCTCCTGGTAGTTGGCGTTCATCTCGTAGGACTGCACCTGAGATCGGAAGCCGGAGCTATCGTTGAGATCCCTGATCCCGGCCACCACGCTAATGCGACTGGCATTCTGGCCATTGACGCAGTGGGCGGCGGTGAGGACGCGATTCGGGGCCACAAGGGATCCGCCACAGAAATGCCTGAGCTGGCCACTGCGGGTTCGGAACTGCATGGACACCTGGTAGGGAACGTACTCATCCTCGGGCACATCGTAGCCGCCAACCACGCGCTCCTGGGAATTAGTGTCTGCCTCCTCGAAATATTTGTCCACTGGAGAAAATCATGGATTTTAGTAGGGAAAATAAATAAAATAAATAATATTAAAATTACATTTTACTTACAGTCGATGACATTGCCCATGGGCTTACTTTCGACCAACTCGAGGGAAGAGAAGGCTGCCACAAGCAGCACAAAATAAGTTACTCCGTTCATGGTAGGACTGAGCTTGCAACTAGCCGAGAATCAGAGGTTTATATACGCATCGAAGAGCCCCAATTAATTGGGGTTTTTCGTTCTACTCAGTTCATTTGAATTTTATCTAGTGCAGCTGTGGGCGGTCGTCCCACCTCGTGTAGTACTGGGTTACAAGGTCGCTGGGCAGCGATAGCAGTGGCCTAGGCGATAGGAACACAAGACAATTCGCAAGGGGAGACCTAATATAAAGGTTGTGGTTTAAGCCAAACTAAGGTTTACTTTATTTCAGGGGGTGTAAAGATTTTTTGTCTCTCGAACCCATACATCATTGCTCTAAAAAGCGATCTTCTGAATTTCCTGGGAATAACACCTACGCAAAAGGTAGGACAGAGTCACTAAAAGAATCAGAAACACAGACAGACTCCCGAAGTTGGAGCTCCAGAGTTTTAATCAGCGAATAATTTAAATATTCCGATTAAACAAGCCACTGCGGACATTTCTTTTAATTCATTGTGCATTGGACAGGGAGACAAGGAGACCTGCCGCTGGCAATCAGCACCTCGGACACCTTGGACACCTCGAAGGCAGTTTCGGTTTCAACTGCAGCTTCGATGCCAGACAGCAGCTCCAGCCATCCAGCCATCCACATGTTCGATGCAAATCAGGCTCCATTGCGCCGTCGAGTTCTACCTCAATTCCATTGCTCCTTCCATGGGCGGGCTGCGAAAGTGCTATCTGGTCCACATTCGGAGTCAGATGTGTCAGTTCCGGGCCTGATTGCATCCAGCTAATGAATCATTTTGGCTGTAGCTGCAGTTGGACCTGGAGGCAGACTTCTGGGAGCTGTGTGTGGCGCACGGGCGCGAATTAATTATGCACACCTCTCGGTTCCGACTGCAGATCCTCCTTCCCCCCTTCTTTTGGCATCCTGGCTGCCGTTGAGGTCTTGATCTTTGGACTTCTGTGTTAATTGTCCTGGGCCGCAATGCAGCGCCTCGAAGTTGCCAGCCAGCGAACCGATTTGAACCCGAAATGGCTTTATTATATCGCCAGCAAGGTAGCCGCCCCATCCACAGGATGTGTCTGGGGATCTGGCGATCTGGAGATCCCACTCTGGCGCCGTTTGTTAATTGGACCACCCTGGAAAGGCATGACTTATCCGCGGACTTTATGCTTAATTCCTGCCTCTAATTTGCATGTGAGACTCCAGGTTGACGGGTTAATCCGTGTGTTAACTCATTAGGCTTTGTTTAAGCAAGGGAAACTTAATCAGGCACAGGGACACCCAGGAAAATGGTGTTTTGGTTTTTAAGAAAAAAATCTGATAGAGATTAAAACGAATAAATATTGAAATATACTACGTAGATAATTTCCAGTTAATTATGATATATTTTATTTAGGTACACTAAAACGGATTTGTTTTTTGAAATTTTTCTTTATTTTATATTTCCTTTTAAACTCTAAAGACATTTCTTTCTTATTAAGAAACTATATTCAAAACAGGTTGTCACTGCAATCCAAAATCAAAACAGAAGAAAAAAACTTTTGCGATTCCGCAAAACGATGCTCAAAATTCCCACTAATAAAATGCACTTTAATCATTTCATCATCATCAGCGGAGTTCCCGAGACCATATCCTCCTCGACGGGGACTTGTGGATGGGATCGGTTCGGTGTTAACAAGATAAGCATCCTGCCTGTCCGCTCCGACAGGACGCCATCATTATTATGACATTTTGTTTGATTGCCCGCCCCGCCGTTGCCCTCGTTCTTGGCCATGTTCCGTGTTGGCCAGCCAACTTCTGTAGAATTGTGCGTGTGGCCCAGAAGAACAACACAACTGGCCAACTCAGCTGAAGTGAGCATTCATTCTCAGTGCAATTTTTATGGGCTTTTTGTTTTCGGGATTCGTTTTCTTGTTTGTCTCTTTGCCGCCAACGTCTTCGGCTTGATTTATTGGCCAACTTCATAAGACCAGGCCGCTGGTTTTACGATCTGTCTGGAGTGGGAGAAGTGGCAGTTAATATACCAGGCGGTAAGTCCAGTAGCAACTCGGGAAGGGTATTGCTAACCATGCTGATTTCAGGGGTCAATCGAGAGCATCGAAATGAACAGGTGGGGAAACCAATGAAATATTCCTCTGGTTCGACCTGTATGCAAATGATTATGACCGATGCCAACATAAACAAACGGGATCAGCCTGGTTAGCCGAATGAGTTTTCCGCTTCGCAGGCAATTAATTTTCGCACTCGTTTCCAAGTGGAAAATTAATTGCGTGTTTTGCATAATCAGTAAATTGGTCGTTTATTTTAGTACTTAATTTGTTCAGAATCGCACTACGAGGTGCACCTAAGTTTCTCGTTTCCCTCGCGAATCCAAATCCTATAAATTATGACTCTGGACCCCAGCACATGCAGCGATCTGCCATTGGCTCTGTGCCCAGAGAGCATTGGGCAAATTAAACAGATTTTTATTTGCAAATCAGATAAGAGATCATGCCACAGAGCAGCGACGGTATCCAGCTAGAGCTGGCTTAATATTTATCGGTCGCGTGAGCGTGTTACCTAATTGATGACAACAGGTAGGCGCTTCTGTCAAGCGCGCTCTTATGATGGGATCGCTGGACTGGTGGATCGGATCCCTGCTAGCTTATGATAACCAGGCACGCAAGGCGACAACTGAATGTGCAGGAGCGGAGCAGCAGGAGATCCGAATCAACTACTGTTTGGACTGAAATGTTTTCGAAAGTTGTGACATACCAATGTTTCAATAAATAAAATTAAGGTTATCAACTAGACACGCAATATCAAAAATTTCTTGAAAACAATATAAATTTTTATACATTTTGTTTTATATAAATTTGGTTTTGAGTTATTTCTAAGAATTTTTGTCAGCTATTGGTATACAATAAACTTTATTGAATAAAGTGAAGGTCTAGAATGGCGTCGCTTCGCCTAAATAATTTAATACATTTAATAATGATTAAATTACTAAGTGTTTTGTCAAGTGTATATAAAACCAATACTGTTATTTATAGAAGATACTTGGGGAAGGTTACCCCAATTCAACCCACATTACATTATTTCAAGATCACAAACATTTACATGTTTGCATCGCCAAATAAATGATAAGACTGCTCTTCGTGGAGATGTATAAAATGCACGGGTTGCACTCCCAAACCCATTCATTCACTTACCGTTGTAAACGGGGTATCATTCTCAGAAATGGCAGTTCTACAGCTCTTGTGTTTCCTCCTGATCCTCCAGCAAGGGTTGGCTGATGTGGTGACCCCGATTACGGAACCACCCACCAGGATTAATGGTGGGCAGCTGGTGAATGAGACGGTGCCCTTCCAGGTGTCCCTGCAAATGCAACGTCGTGGTCGCTGGCAGCATTTCTGCGGAGGATCCATTGTGAGCGGTCAACATGTCCTTACGGCGGCCCACTGTATGGAGAAGATGAAGGTGGAGGATGTCAGCGTGGTCGTTGGGACACTCAACTGGAAGGCTGGTGGACTGCGTCACCGGGTGGTGACCAAGCACGTCCACCCGCAGTACTCCATGAATCCCCGGATCATCAACGACATCGCCCTGGTTAAGGTTACTCCTCCCTTCCGTCTGGGGCGATCTAATATCAGCACCATTCTCGTTGGGGGATCCGATCGGATTGGTGAAAAGGTTCCCGTCCGCCTCACCGGCTGGGGATCCACCTCTCCATCAACTTCCGCGGCAACTCTGCCGGATCAACTGCAGGCGCTGAACTATCGCACCATCTCGAACGAGGAGTGCAACCAGAAGGGATTCCGGGTCACCCGAAATGAGATCTGCGCCCTGGCTGTCCAGGGTCAAGGGGCATGTGTGGTAAGTCGAATTATTTCTTTAAAAACTAACACCATACCATCCATATTATTCCCGCTTATAGTAAACCACTGATTTAAAATCAGATTTATTTTTTAAAAATAATTAAAGCTTTAAAAAACATTCGGAATATTATGAAAATGTCGGTTTCTATATCCATACACTCAGGGAAAATTTTTATTTTGTTAAAATTTTAAAAAATTAAATTAAAAAAAAAAAAAAAAAAAAAATTAAAAAAATTAAAAAAAAAAAAAAAAAAAAAAAAAAAAAAAAAAAAAATTAAAAAAAAAAAAAAAAAAATAAAAAAAAAAAAAAAAAAAAAAAAAAAAAAAAAAAACCCCCGAGGGGAAAGATTTTTTTTTTTTGGGGGAAGAAAATTTTTTTTTTAAAAAAAAAAAAAAAAAAAAAAAAAAAAAAAAAAAATTTTAAAAAAAAAAAAAAAAAAAAAAAAAAAAAAAAAAAAAAAAAAAAAAAAAAAAAAAAAAATAAAATTTTTTTTTTTTTAAACCCGCCCCCCCCGCAAAAAAAAAAAAAACCCAAACAACCCCCCCCCCCCCCCCCCCCAAAAAAAAAAAAAAAAAAAAAATTAAAATAAAAAAAAAAAAAAAAAAATAAAAAAAAAAAAAAAAAAAAAAAAAAAAAAAAAAAAAAAAAAAAAAAAAAAAAAAATTTTTTTTTTATATGATTTTAATACTCCACACATTATTTTATACCCTGAAAAGTGGATTGAACTTATCGAATTTATGCCTTAATCTTTCGAAACTTATAAATAATGATAAGTGTGGGATAAAGCTAAATTAAGAACTAAATAATGTAATCTATTTATTTCAGGGCGACTCAGGTGGACCGCTGATTAGGCCCGGTCCCCAGCCTCATCTCGTGGGCATTGTCTCCTACGGCTCATCCACCTGCGCCCAGGGCAGGCCCGATGTCTACACACGCGTGTCCAGTTTTTTGGCCTACATCAGCCAGGTGATCAACCAGGATCTGGCCCAATAAATACCGTCCTGCTGCGCATAAATAAACCATGGCTGGCCTGAAATTCCTGAGAGTCTTGCGTTCTTGGCTATTCATTCGCCTCTTTCTTCGTTTTTGGCGACTAATTAAAAATCTTGTTCAATATTCGCCACAGCCAGAGGGAAGGCGGAGGAGTCTGGGTGGAGTCCACACAGTCGCTGGGTCGCCTCTCCATCTTCATGGTCTAGGCTTGGCCCGACTCCAGCTAAAAACTTGGGCTGCCGCCTGCCAGGGCGACCATGATAAATGCAAAAAGCAATTTATCGCGCATTTAACTCAATTCAGTTTCTTTATGGCAGCGGGTTGAGGATGTGGCTGTGGGGACGTGGGGATGGTGGAGCCTGCCACAAAGTTTCGCTGACACGCACACTGCTGCGAACTGCGAACTCCTCTCCAAAGACCGGGCCTTGTAATTCGATATTAGATTTTATGCGCGACAAATACGAAGTGCAAACATTTTTATGTTCCCGCCGTTTCTATGCTGCGATTGCTTCGGTTTGCCATGTGTAGTGGAAACGATTTAACGGGGCGCCGACTTTGACTTTAGCTTTAACTTTGGTCTCGACTCGACTGCGGCTGTGTAATTAAGTTCAAATAATGTGGAGCTCATGCTTTTTAGCGAGCTCCAAAGGAGCCTCTTCCTGCGGAGAAGCCAAATTTGCCTGCAGAATGCCGAAGAGCTCGTTTCACGCTCCCAATTTACTGGATCAAAGCTCGCCACGCTCTGCGGGCATAACATGGAAAATCTGGCCTCCTCTGAACTTCCATATATACCCAGCTAACAGCGGGTCAAATGCGCAGAAAAAGACTAAACCACCCAAACCCGAACCCATCTCATCCCGAGGCAATCTGAGTCTCGCAGCCACTGCTCACCATATAAATTCATTTAGATCAATCAATTCAATTTGTTTGTCAATAAGCCCTAAATGAGTATTTCATTTAAACAAATTAAAATTCGACCCATTTGGAATGCCAGAGGCTGCGCGGACTCATCCCGCAGCAATTAAAATTGACGCGACACACTCGATTCCCTGATTTCTTAAACGAGCGCAATGGAAACACATATAAATACGGCTGGACTTTGGCTCTGGCTCAGACCCAGAGACCCAGACCCTGGGACCCATAGCTCTATAGCTGTAGCTTTAGAGTCCAAGGGACCAAGAGACCAATGGCCAGACCATCGTTGTTGACTCTTCATTGTCAATTAAAATCAAATAAATTTATTTGCTGCTTGACATTCGCCTTGCCACAGTTTTCTCTCGCTTTTTTTGGGCACTTTCGATCCGCTGTTTTTGTTTGGCATGCAAGTGCATTGAGCTGATTGCCCTGACCTTCCCAGGAGGAGAGTTGATATACCCAAAAATGAAAAGATCACTTGGCTTTGCCCTGGTTGGCCACCGTTTCCATGGCCTTCTTAACCGTCTCCGGATCGCCGAGGAACTTTAAGGTGGCCAGGGGCTTGAGGTTCTCGTCCAGTTCGTAGACAAAGGGAATACCGGTGGGCAGGTTGAGGTTCATGATGTCCTTGTCGGAAATGCACTCCAGGTGCTTGACCACGCCCCTCAGGCTGTTGCCGTGGGCGGCCACCAGGATGCGCAGACCCTCCTTGATCTGCGGCACGATCACCTCGTTCCAGTAGGGCAAAGTGCGCTCGATGGTGAGTTTTAGGGACTCGGTTTTGGGGAACTCCTCCGGTTTCAGTTGGTCCTTGTAGCGCGGATCCTCGACTATGCACGCAGTAGTACTCGTGATCCTTCTCCATGGGCGGCGGCGGGGTGTCGAAGCTGCGGCGCCAAATCTGGACCTTCTCCTCGCCGAACTTCTTGGCGGTCTCGGCCTTGTTCAGTCCCGTCAGTCCGCCGTAGTGGCGCTCATTGAGGCGCCACGAGGAGCACACCGGGATCTTCTTGTGCTCGCTGGACTTCAGGACGGCCGTGAGGGTGTCTTGGGCTCTGGACAGCACCGAGGTGTGGGCCACATCGAACTCCATTTTGGCCGCCTTGAGGGCACTGCCGGCGGCACAGGCCTCCTGCTGACCCTTCTCCGTGAGCTTGGCATCGAACCAGCCGCAGAACAGGTTCTTCTGGTTCCACTCGGACTCTCCGTGCCGCACCATCACGATCCTGTACTTGCCCTGCTTCTCGGCCTGCTTTCCGCCGGAGGATGCCTTCGAGAAGGGGCAACGGCGCCCCAGCATTTGGCCACACCACGAGTTCCTGGCCAGAGCCAACATTTTGGGACACTTGGAATTTGGAGAGGTGAGAAAGTCTAAACGGTGTTCATTTCGAGTGTGATTTCCAACTAAACTGATGAGCTCAACACTTGACAGTTGAGAGGTTCAATTTTAAAGAGCATACTTTGATGATTGTATTGTATTTAAAATTTTAATATTTATTTTTGTTTAAACCATGCCTTGTTGAAAATTAGAAAATGCTATATTTAAATCAATTTTAAGTCCTTCGTTCAATTTTCAATAAAGGTTGCTCAGCCAGCTTTATGGTGGTATTGTCAATGAATTCGAGGTCCTGGTATAAAAAGCTTGTACTCAGTTTATAATTTCGTAATATTTTAGCCAGAGCCAACTTTGCAGATACCAGAGACAACTTATAACCTGAATGAGTATATTTAAACATTTTTTAAAAAGGTAGGTATTTAAATAACTTACCTAAGCAGGTTTTCTTACCCTTAGAGAATGGTAAATATCCATAAGGGTGCCGGTTTCGTTTATTTTCGGCAAGAAAGTTGTCGGGATTGAACTCCCCAGCCTTCGGACCCCAGACATCCGTATTTTGATGAGTGTGAAAAATATCGATCATTAAAGTTACGCCCTCGGGAATCTGAAACCCGTTTGAAAGTCGAATCTCCTGGGATGTTTGTCTTATCAGTAGTGGAACAGCAGGTATCAAGCGCAAAGTCTCCTGCAACACTTGATCCAAGTACACCAATTTCTCCACATCTCCATGGCTGAGTTCGAATCCTCCTACTGAAGGAAAGACTTCTGCCAGCTCCTCAAATACTTTATCCTGCACTTTTGGGAACATTGCCAAAAGGCTAAGCACATTGTTGACTGTTACTGATGTAGTATCAGATGCGGCAAATATAATATTTGAAAATTCGCCCATAACCTCGTCATAAGAAAGGTCGCCGTTCCTTACAAGATCTAGAATTCGATCGATTAGTGCTGGTTCTAAGCTGGTTTCTGAGCTTCTGCTTCCTAGCTTTTCATCAATGATCTAAAATAAATGTATATGGATATTTAAATAGACAGATATTTAAGGCTTTTTAATCCGTCATACCTCTTTAATGAAGGCATTTGATTGGGATGTAGCCTTCAGTCTTCTTCTTTCAAAGCCACTCAGCTTTCCAATGAACTTGTTTCGCAGCCAGGGCATCACAACTCCAAGAGGTATGAGTTCATTGAGGCTACGGTAGTAAAATAAGTTTATCATCATATTGTTTTAGAATTGAAGAGACTTACGACTTGTAGTTTTTCATCAGATTACCGTTGTTGTAGTTCGCTTTATTCTTTACATCGCTTCCCATTGTAAATTTCTAAAATCATAAAGCTAAGAAAATAATTACTTTGTACATCTATTTTACTCACGAGCGGCTATTTTAAAGGACCATTTATTAAGTTCTGGCAGCAAGTTTATCTCTCCTTGACCCACGAATCGTTTAAGAGAGTCCACCAAAGAATTCGATTCATTGTTTAAAATGGGAACAAAACTAAGAATGGCATTATTCTTGAATAATGGACCAAATAGTTTTCGTCGTTCATGCCAATGCGTATCTATTATAAATGTTATAAGTTTGAAGTTCAATCTTTGAACTTGGAAAGTATTTCAAAATTTGTTCAATTACCCTTTAATGTCAAAAGTCCCGAACCAAGACAAGATGATATGGCTTTGTCTACGACAGAGCTCCTGTTGGTGCAATGCGGAGACATCAAAATATCCTCGACGATCCTCGGTTCGCAGGTTACCAAAACTGGTGTTAAACCAATCCACGTCATTCCGGTTTGTCCAAATATCTTAAAGAACATTGTACGCGAGCCTATATTACCTGCTTAAACGTTTTTATTCAAGTTACATTGAGAAATTCAAAATCTGAATGTATTTACGTTTCAGACGAATATATTCGTAGGCAAGTCCGATGAAGGGAAGTCCCATTGCTCCAGGCACCTTCAGCATCATAATGTAGAATCTCCGTCGAATCCATAGAAAATATATCCACAAAAGTATCGCAACGAAAATTAAAAATTGTAACGTGAGCATTTCAACTTCTCCTCTTTACTAAATTGAGATTAAGTAAGTAGGAGTCTGAAATTCGACGAAGCCTTATATAGGACAAAAAATACATAACATTTAATGGGAGTTATTTAATTGAGACAATTTCACCTTTAAATGAAAAGAAGACTATGGAACTCTTTTATTAAATTAAATATTGTCATACTTTCTGATTCGTAATTGGATATAAAGTGTAAGAGGTGTAATTAGCTGCTTTAAATCATGGAATTATAATTGTTTTTTGTATATTACAATGGAATTACAGTTACAGGAATTGTTTTCTGTCTTTTAACAATTCATCTAACTTTTGGGTACATTTAAAAAATAATTATTTTTTTTAACGCCAACCTATTGTGAATTTTATTACAAACTTAACGGGTCATGAAATATTCATATTTAGACAATTTACTGCATTCTAAAATCTACTTCTATCGTCGTTGAAAAGCCAGACGTGGGGACTTGACTAAGTTAATGACCATGTTGTCAACGAAGTCCAAGTCTTCATAACGAAATGAAGTGCTAAGTTCGTAGTTGGTGAGTATCTTGACTAAAGCTAGTTTAGCAGACATTAGACCATATCGCCAGCCTGCGAAAAATAATAAGAAATAATTATAACAATGTAAACTTCGTGTATGAAGCGACCAGCCAACCTATGCAGTTTCTCTTTCCCTTTGCAAATGGAATAAAGGCGTATGGATGCCTATTGGACACTTTTTCCGGCAAGAAGTTATCTGGGTTAAACTTCTCTGCTTCCGGACCCCAAAAATCCTTGTTGCGATGGATGCTGAATATGTCGACGCCAATCATAACTCCCTTGGGGACGATAACTCCATTAGATAGTGGCAAGTCGGCCATTGTATCCCTCGTGATGATAGGGATGGAGGGTATCAATCGCAACGCCTCATTTAGCACGCGATCCAAGTAAACCAATTTTTGGAGATCTTCGTTGGTAATTTCCAAGTCTTCGGCCGTTGGGAGGAGTTCCTTAATCTCGTTAAAGACCCTCTCCTGGCATTCGGGATTCATGGCCAGCAGCACGAGGGTATGATATACCGTATGAGCGGTCGTCTCAAAGGAAGCCACAACCATACCGTTACACTCGGATTTCAACTCCATAAAGGATATTTCGCCTTTTCGAAAAAGTTCAATTGCCTTATCGATAACAATTTTCATCTCGGACTCCGAATTATATGTAATTTCTGGCTTTGAGTGCAGTTTTTTGTTAATTATCTGGTTGAAAGAATTTGTTAAAATAACTGTTGGCTCGACTGTCTAAACTCACATTATCCATCATTTCACTAATCGGAGAATAGGCTCTTGTTAACCGCTTTTCAAGTCCGAAAAGCTTGGAAATCATTTTAATTTTGAAAAACGGCATCAAAGTATTAATTGTGATAAGGTTTAAGATCCTGCAGAGAGTAGAACGATTTATGCTGGAAAATTGTAACAGGTTTGACCTCGCTTACGTCTTAAAGTTTTCCATTATTGTATCATTTTTTAAGTTTTCCTCTTCCTTAACATTGGTTCCCATAGTGGTCTCTGTGGACAATAATTGATAGGGCGATTCAAAGTGTTTGAATGGTTGAAATACTCACGGGCGGATATTCTAAATGACCATTTAAGTATGTCTGGTAGTACATCTTTTTCGCCCTGACCGACAAAAGAGTCGAATAGGCTTACCAGGGATCTCGCTTCGTCATTGAAAATGGGAAAAAAGCTGAGCAAGATATTTGGTTTGAAGGCGACATTCATATGCTTCCGACGCTCCATCCATTTGGATCCTGAAAATGTCCCAAAACATGTAAATCAATTAGAGATGAAAGTAGTCTAGTACCTCGTACCTTGTAGTGTCAATAATCCGTGTCCAAAAGAATGAGTAAACGCACTGACTGCCTGCCAGTTCCTGTTGATGCATGAAGGTGACATAAAGATATCCTCGGCAGTTTTGGGATCCATTGTCAATATAAATGGCATTGTACCCAACCAGGTCAAAATAGTTGAGCCATTCATCCTTAGATATTTGGAGCGCATTCTTATTTTACCTGTCGACAAATAAGTTTTAGATATTTACTTACTAGCTCGGACTTTTCAAGTCTCACTTACGTTTATAGAAGAGAAAACACTCTATCGCAATTCCGATTATAGGTAGTCCCCAGGTTCCTGGCAACTTCAGCGATAGTAAATATAAATGTCTCCGACTCCAAAGAAAGTGGATCCAAAATAGGATTACCGCAACAATTAACAATTGCACCGAAATCATTTTATTCTACTTTTGTGCTTCTAAGCGAAGTGAGAGTAAATTTATATCTTAGAATTTGTTGAGTTCCAGTCAGCTTTTATACGCTGATGCTCCTCGAATTTATTTAGGAACCTATTTATGGCAATAACCTCCACAGCTTAATTACTCTGATACAAATTTACCTTTCAACTTTCAAATGTCTGTGCACGTCCATTTAAATTGACACCTTTTAAGGCTGCAAATGCAGCCAGCTATGGAATACCTACATCTTATAAAGCACTTCTTAACAGTAGGTAAATTGTTTTATTATATTCAAAAGTAAACATACATATTATACTCAGTACCAGCCAAAAGCAAATTGGTCCCATCAAGAACAAATTCTAGAATTGCTGTCTAGAAAATTCTGACAAAAATTACTTATACTTAAAGTGCTCAGCATCCTCTATGTTCGTCTGTGGAATTCAATACCTGGAGATAGGGCCAGCTCCATGCCCACGTTATCAACGAAATCGAGATCTTCATATCGAAAAGAAGTGGTTACTTTGTAGTTCCTGAGTATCTTGGCCAAGGCGAGCTTGGAAGACATCATTCCATATTTCCAACCTAAAAAAAATAAAAAAGGTGAAGAAATGAATACAATAATAGGTAATTTGTCTTACCTATACAATTTCGTCTGCCCTTCGAGAAGGGAATATAGGCGTAGGGATGCCTGTCGCGAACATTGTCTGGCAGAAAGTGATCTGGATTAAACTTGTCCGCATCGGGACCCCAGAATTCCTTGTTGCGATGGGTGTTGAATATATCGACGCCAATCGTGACTCCCTTGGGAATGACCACTCCGTTCGACAGCCGGAAGTCCTGTGTTGCTTCCCTCGGTACAAACGGAACGGATGGTATCAGTCGCAGGGTCTCGTTCAAAACGCGCTCCAAGAAGACCATCTTTTGCACGTCCTCGTAGGTCACCTCGAAGTCCCCGGCCGTTGGGTAGAGATCCTTGAGCTCCTCGAAGACCGTCTGCTGGCACTCGGGGAACATGGCCAGCAGAGTGAGAGTGTGGCAGACCGTAACACCCGTTGTCTCGAAGGCAGCCACAACCATCATAGTGCATTCGGCTCGCACCTCTCCCAGGGGCAATTCACCCTTCCGATAGAGTTCGATGGCTTTGTTGATCACAGAGGTGATTTCAGGCTCTGCGCCACTTTCTGGCTTTGAGTTGAGCTTCTTGTCAATGATCTAGATGGGGGGAGAACAGGCTTTAAAGTATATATTTTACTCGGATACTCCAAACTTACTTTGTCTATCATTTTTTCAATATGGGACGCGGATCCGGCTCTCTTCTCTTCAAATCCACATAGCGTGGAAATAATTTTGTTGTGGGTAAAGGGCAACATAACATTCATTGTGATCAAATGCAAAAGCCTGTGAAAAGTAAATTACTGTGGATATCAGTGCACATGTGGGGGCTGCATTTTCTTACGACTCATAGCTTTTCAAAATCGTGTCGTTTTCAAAGGATTTATCTTGCTTGACATCGGTTCCCACTGTGGTTTCTGTAAGAAATGTTATTAATAGAAAATCATAGTATTCATATGGTTTTTGCACTCACGAGTGGCCACTCTAAACGACCATCTGACTATATCATTGAGGATTTTCTTTTCGCCCTGTCCGACTTGCGTGCCTAAAAAGGTTACCAGGCTTTTCGCTTCAGCATTGAAAATGGGCAGGAAGCTGAGCAAGATATTATGCCTGAAGGTGTGATTCATATGCTTGCGACGTTCAATCCACCTATTTGCTAAATACAATCATCGATATGTGTAATGATAGCTGAAGATAAAACACATGATCCAGTACCTTCTATTGAGAGCAGGCCATCTCCTTTCGCACTGCTAGTGAGTGGAATAGTGAACTGCGAACTCCTGTTGATGCACTCCGGGGACATGAAGACTTCCTCGACGATCTTTGGATCCCGGGTCATTATAAATGGCATTGGGCCAAGCCAGGTCAAAATTGTTGAGCCATATTGATCCATGTACTTGGTTCGAATTTTCATTTTACCTGTGTGTAAGGAGGTTTTAATTTAATCCACTGTTTATCCATATTCTAGTATTATTCACGTTTATAGAAGATAAGGTACTCCACTGCGATGCCGAGGAGGGGCAGTCCCATGGGTCCTGGCAGCTGCAGTAGCAGCCCATAGAGCCTGCGTCGACTCCAGAGGAAGTATATCCAAGAGAATACTCCAACGAATGCGAGTAACTCTAAGGTGAGCATTGTAAATATTCTATTATATTCTAAGCTTGAAGGAACGAACACCCTGGTGTGATCTTAAACACTGATTTGGCTTCGCGCTTTAGGCACAGGTTTTTATAGAAATGTGTAAGTCTTTAAAGTACAAGTGCTTCTGTGGTCAAATAAATAAGTATTATGATGTACTTAATTACGAGAGTTTAAGTTCAGCTTGATCTACCCAAAACTCTTTTCGACTTTGTTCTGTTGGTAAATGCCTACCTAAAAAAAGATTCTGATTAGGTCAGAAGCCAGACGTCTAAAGGTAACTGAAGCAGTTTGCGGTTAGCTAACTTCCGGATATTAGGAGGGCTCCGAACGCTTGGAGCTCCCTTAATCGCCCCACGATCCATCATCTGGGATAGGTGAAAAAGCAATTAAGCCCGAATCGCGTCAACCGCTTACGAGTCTAAGGCGAAGCTTACTTGGCTAAGCCCAAAATCGATAGACAAGAAGCCGCTGGACCGCAACAGGTAAATCACTATCGAAGTGTGTGCGGGGCAATTAAAGTCACGAAAAATGTCAGCGGCGATAAATTATTTTTTAAGTGCGTTCCCCGAAAAGTTGTCAAAAAGTGTTAGAAATTTTCACCGCAAGCTGGGAGGCATGAGAGTCGGTGCTCCGATGTCTCAAGGTGTGGCAGGCTGCCCACGAACATGGACTCGGCACACGCAAGTCCCAGAGATATTCGTGTGGGGAGGGGGTATGTGGAGACTGGGGGTCTTTTGGGAAGACGTCTGATAGCCGCGCGATAAGCAACATTACCGTACAATTTTCAATTAACACGCAGGGGAAATTCGAGGGGGGAGCGGTGATAAATTCCACCAAGACTCGACCCTGGCGCTTGCAGGCACAAACTGTTCGGAGCCGGAGCCCCAACAAATTGTCTAATCTAATGCCCGGCTTGAAGCCCAGAGGAGCTCGGACCGAGGACTTGGTCGTGGCTGTGGTCCTCCAGCCAGGTCGGAACTGATCTATGGTAGCCGTTAGTGTCGTCGGCAGTGAAAAGTTGTCGACCTGCACTGGCGAAATATAGTAAATAGTAAATGCGGGGAAAGAAAACTAAAGAGGCAAATCCAGGCAAATAATCGACAAACGTCCAACAAGCCAACTGGCCGTGGTAGACAATTTATCATCTCGACTCGGGCTTCGGTTTCGCCTCCAGTCCGGTGGCCGTAAAAGCTTCTTTATGGCTGCTTCTGTGCTCTGGACCCTGGGCACAGGTTCTAGTATATAAAACCTGGATGGAAGCCGCTAGCCGGGCACAAATCTTTCATTTTATGCCCCGCTCGCATTGACATGTTTTTATTTTCGTTTTGGGGTTTGGCCGCTGCTTTATGGTTCTTCAAATGATTTACTTGGCAGATATTTGCTATTTCCAAAGTTCTAAGCTTGACCCTTGGATTTGATATATCTTATTTTTCCATTACTTGAAAAAATATTCTTGTCGGCATATAAAAATGTTATATGGTAATCAAATTATAAAAAAGAACTGGAACACATTTTATTGTGTGCATTTTTGTTATTCTAGTTATTCTAGACATCTATGCATTGTTTAAGTAATAAACACTTTATTATAGAACTAGCTGTTGTAGAAAAGTAGGTGCACTTGGGTCGTAATATGTAAAGCACTTAAATAAATCTTTCTTATTCTTTATTCTTTATTTCAAAATAATAGGCCTTTCACACTCCGTTGGTGTTTCTCAGATTATTTTTGTTAGTATTCCTTAGGTCATAGTTTACGATCGAATAGTAAGAGATAACTTTCAATGCACTTTCCACTCGCATCCTCGAACTTAATCAACTTTTCAATTTTCCTTGAGCAAACAAATGAAAAGCAAAAAGTGTCTTACCATTTTTCCTATTAGCTGCGGCGCTTTCATCATTTTCAGGAGGCGCGTGAGGAGTTCAAAGGTGGCCCAAATGACATCCGTACATCGCCAGTGGCTGGCCAAAATAATGCCGCTTCTCCACTGGATCTCCACTGTGACTGTGGCTACTGCACAGCTGCAACTGCAACTGCCGCTGCCTCTGCAATCGAGATGAAGATGCATCTGGTGAGCACACACGTCCGCTGGCCATGAACTTTGCTCGCCTAACCCCTTCCTGCCATTGAATGCTGGATTTTTGGATTGGACCTGCGGCAATTTGAGCACCTGGCGGGCCTCATGTGTGCACTTTCAGAGATCATTTTCCGTTTTCCACAGCGCCGCGAATCGAAGTGCATTTGCGTAAATTGAAAATGAAGCGGAAAAAGGATTCAAACACCTGCAAAATTATAGCAGAACAAGTTGGACTACCAAAATGATGGCAGGGAATTACTTTGAAATTCAAAACAAGTATGGTTAGTCCGCTCCCATGGACTTTTGTGGGTGTGTGAAATAGGGCTGGGCTCCTACCATCTCAGCTGCGTGCGGGTTCAGGCCTTAACTTCCGACATCCCCATCCACCCACTGGGCGACGTGGACATGGACATGCATGCGATTTCATTTTGATAATAATGGCACAGCCAAATAATTATAATGATCGTGATCACAATCACCGATGGGAGATGACTAAGCAATTTACCGTTTCTAAGCCGGGTATAGATTTCTGAGGCCAGACCCCGGGCACATCTTCAATGAAATTTCAGGTCAATTGTCTTGCGGCCGCTGCGTTTGGGTGTTTTTGTGTCTTGCGGTCTGGGATCCGAACTCCAAACCCAAACCCGAACCTGGGACCCAGAACGAGAACCAGACATAGACCGCAGCCAGTTCTTGCCCAGTTCAATTGGTTTTTTTTTGCTCGTCGCTCTGTTGTTTTCTGTTTTTCGCATTTTCGTGCTTGCGAGCGGAGAATCCGCATCATCTAAGACATCCAGTGCCCCGGAACCTCCGCACCACCGATTTCCGAAGACCTGCCTGCGTAGGCGCTTTCACAGATTAATTGAAGTCATAAGCAATTGTAAACTTATCGCTTTTCGGTCTGCCGATCCATCCACCAACTGGATAATTCTGTAATATTTTCTCTGCGGTTTCTTCCGCGCGCATCGCTGGCCTTTATCGATTTGCAGTTTGAAAATTGTCGGTGGTGTTGGCGTTTGGTTAATTTGTTGCTATATTTGATTGTGGCACACTTTGCGCAATTATTTGATTGCGTTTCTATTAAGTCCCGATACAGTTCAAGAGTTCAACAATCAGAAGCTGCTCTGTTGGCTGCGTTTATTTCGCTGGGTTTGGAGGTTAAGTTAATTCTATCATAAAGTGCTTGAGGGTTCTGTTTTTTCTAAATATATACATTATGTGTTTTAATGTTGTATTCAATTTAATTGGCTTTGATTAATGTTTTTCAATTAAATAAATATAATTTCATTTTTTCTTTTTATTTTGTAAACAATTTATTGTCTTCATTTTTTATTTATTTGAGTAATTTTAAGGTTTTATAGCTTATTCACAAATATTTTGTTCCACTTTTTAAAAAATGTGTATTGTAAAAATATTGTACAGTTTTTATTTAAATGTGACTTTATTTTAAGTAAATACACTCAAAATAAAATTAACCCTAAAGTCAAGGAAATCGCCCTACTTTTGTCTTCAAGACAAGCTCGCCCTAAATTTTAGGGTCACATTTTTCTATATTTTTGATTTTTTTGACGTCATATTTCTAAATTTTAGGGTAATTTTACTAAATTTAAGGGCAAAATTTCTAAAAGTAGGAAATTTTCCTAAAAATAGAAATTAAAAGCAAAACAAAAAACATGTTCAATCATGTTTTTTTGTATATCGTTTATATTATGTACTCTCCCTATATACATATGCGGCGTTGTGTGTCTTGTATATTGTGAATGTAAATGTTTATGTATTTATTATTGTGTATTTGGCTTGGATTTCTTATCTAACCAAAGCCAAATGTGGTTGTAAATGTGGACTACGGATGCGGAAGATTGGGAATGTAGAAATTATGATTAGTTAATATTTTATCTTCATGAAAAATTACATTTTACTTGTCCGTCGTGAGAATCGAACCCGGGTCTCCGCGCGAGGAGCGAATGGCCTACATACTGGGCCATTGTAGACTTAAACTTGTGTGGCAAACCAAGCATTGTGTAAAGGGTGAAGCGGACAACACATTTGAATACTAATTGCATAATTTTGACCATTCGCGTTTTACTTATTTACATACGTATATACATATGTATATATTTATGCTAACGCAATTTATATTATGTGTAGTATATAGTAAATAGCTGAATATAAACCTTATTATTCTTAGTTTACCGCTTGCCATCAATAAAAAAATATAAAAAAAGTAAACAAATTAATAAAAGAAAATAAAATAAATAAAAAAATAAAATAACAAAAAAAAAAGGTTAAAAAATTTTGCTTTGGGACTCGAACCCGCGTCGATTCGATTGCTAACCAAGTGCTTTAACGGTCTGCGCCACAGTACAGCCGGCCGGCAGCTGACAAGTTCTGGATTGACATTTTGGTGTGCCAGAGCATGTGAAAACAAATATTTCTATTTTTAGAAAAATTTTCTAGATTTTAGGGTGATTCTAGTTCATGGTAACCATTTTCTACATTTAAGAAAAACTTCCTGGATTTAAGGAAAACTTTCTTGACTTTAGAAAAATTTCCTTAGATTTAGAAATAACTTTCTTGTATTTAGAAAAAAGAAATTTTAATGGCGATTTTCTAAAATTTAGGGTTAAATTTATTTTGAGTGTATTACATGGATTCTTCTTTTTAGATGGGTTTAATTTTAAATGATCTAGAGGAAGAGATATTAAATCGAAGTTTGTCACTTGGCAGCAATTACCCATACGCCCTGCTAGTCAGCTACTCCGCCAAACAATAGCAATAATAAAGTTTGGGAGGCAGCCCATCCGTGACAATGGATGAGGAAGCGCCGAAAGGCAGCAATTACGGAGCGCGTCGGGACGAAAGGATAAAAGCCGGATGCTCGAATATGGGTAATAAACGCGGCACGGCAAGATGATACACTTATCCGCCGCCACACGCACCCACACGATGAGTTAAATGGCAAATGCTAAT